TTGAAACATATATAAATATAATGCATATATTTTCAGAATCAGATCCAAGTGTTCAGACAAGAATTACATAGAAAAGAATACCACATTACCCGAATCACATCGAAAAAGTATGCATCATTCACGGTACCAGAAGAAAACCTCAACATCCTCGTCAATCAATGGGAAATTGTGAAAAAGAAAGTAACTGTGCTGGAAGAAAGGTTATTGAAAGTTACTTCCGATGTCAAAGAAAATGGGAAACTCCGCCATCTGTTACTATGGTTACATGAAGCTGAAACACTTTTGRGTTGCTATGGCAACGAAGAAGGGCGCGAGGGTGGTGTGCCTCCTAAATTTTTACTGCGACAACATGAGGTATGTAGAACCACTACTAAGGTCGAATTTATTTTTGATGTGGATTTTAGCCTTGATTGTTATTTGTTGTTGTAGTTGCTGTTGCTGTTGTGGTCGCTGTAGTTAATGTTTTGTTTGTCCCTCCCCCCTCCGTTCCTACCAAAATAATGTTTATACCACAGGAAGCCCATTTTACGCAAAAGCGATAGGTGATACAACTGAAATAGTATTTCTTAGAAGGATACCATATGGAAATCATAGGAGAAAGGAAAAGTGCGCGAAAACAAAAAAATCATATTATGCTATTGCTGATTTGCCTATCACTAATCTTAAGTCAGTTTAGTGTGCTTCTTTTGTCAGGCACCTGCTCTGAATCGACGTTTTGTTTCCCCAATTACCTCGGGAAATGATTATATTTTTGTAAAGCATTATATTTGTTTTCGAATTGTATGGGTGCTTGTTGCGTCATGGCCGTCATGACCCAACGTGACGGGTGTTTCATTGTTATTTATATCTCGAGGGATTTTGAGTCATGTGGTTGTACCCCAAGAATTTAATTTCTCACCCCCAATGAAGATATTCTAATAATTAATGTACTTCCTTTTTCATGTAAGTCCTTTTTCCAAGAAATGGAGAAATACCGTAGTATTTYACAAACCATGGTGGAAACTGGTGTTGACGAGGGGATCGTGGTGGATCAAGAGCTTCTCTCAAGCACCCAGCAACGCTTCAGCACCGTGCAACATCAAGCTCAGACGAGATCAATGAGATTAACATTCGAAAGTCTGCATTCAAGACTGATGATAATGATTAGAAATGGACAGGAACAGATTGGTCGTCAGCCAGTAAAGTTTTCATCGAAAGAGGAAGCAGAAAGAACATTTAGAGACCATATGGTATAAATATTGAAAGAACTTTGACTTTACTTTCATTTAGTTTAGGTTCATGCGTTTGACATTCTCTCTTTTTACATTTTTCGTTTGTTTTTTCTTCCCTCCTCCCTTCCCCTTCTTTCCTCGTGCTTCATTCCTTCCTTTTTCTATCCATCCGTCCGTCCTTTCTTTGCTTCGGTTCGTTCGTTCGTGTGTTCGTGCGTGCGTGCGTTCGTTCGTTCGTTCGTTCGTTCGTTCGTTCGTTTATTTTGAGCCAAAGCAGCAATATATATATATATATATAGTCTATTAATTTCTAATACATTAACACAGCATCAATCACATTTTTTAACAGTCATTTTTCCAAGACAAGAAACACCTCAAGAAGTGCTCAAAGTATATGCGTAAGCTGAATAATGTTTACGTAACATGTATCGAGTTGCTAGAAGGTAACGACAAAGATGCCATCGCCGATGCCTTCAGAGAGATAGAATTGCTCTGGGAAACGTATTCAGTTGAATGTAGCAGTCGACAAAAGTTATTGGAGGATCTGAACAAGAAGTGGAATACCTTTGAGACTCTTGCAGATTCCATGGACACTTGGATGCGTGAAGCAGAAAGGTTGATTGAAAAAAGCAAATTAAGCGTCTGCAAGGTTTGTTTTTTTTTGTAGTATGCAATTCCTATTATCAACTTTCTCCTCATTCACCTCAGGAAAGAGGAAATACTCGTACTCAGTCCTCTCCTCGTCTCTTTAAGACCAATGACATGCTACTGCATAGCATGGTTTGTTCTTTTAAAGTCTTGGTTACTGAACAAGTATTGCGCGCCTAGGGGTGAGGGAGAGGGTGCCGTTTTTCCTCCCAAGAACTAAGCTAAAACCCCTTTCATCTTTTGATACAGGAATACCTGAAAAACGTAGATAAGATTCAGTCTGATGCCACAACCCTGAAGGATTCCAGCAAGATCGTCCTTGAAAACTGTATTGATCGAGTCAAAATCGAGACAAGACAGACTTTACGATCACTTGACCGGAGGTTGAACCGCATCGTACGACGGCAGTCAAGGCTCATGAAGTGCGAACGAAGGAACGCGAAACTCGAAGAGTTTGAAGGGATCGTGGATGAGATCATGGACTGGATCTATGACACAGAGGTCTTGATGACATGCATAGTAGAAAGTACACATGTTGCAGTTAAAGAAAGAGTAGACCAGTTCGAGGTACGACTGAAAGTCTTTAATTTATTTTCTGCGCACAACTGGGGCTTAACATGAGTAGCAGAGAATACGCCTCTCTAGCTTATGCGCAATTGACGATTCTCAAAACTTCAGTGTATGCGGGCTTAGCCTCACTTCTGAGGTCGGTTAACAAAAGCAGAAATTAGAATAACAAAACAGGATCTCCTGGATCAATTTGAGGGTAAGCCCACATGCACTGAAGTTTTATAAAGTTTTGCCATTTCAGACCACGCATCAATTTGTTGAGACTAAGTTTGAATTCTTTGTTAAAGTTGTGTCCCCTTTAATGCATCTCTTAAGTTTTACTGGTAAATAAAGGAATTATACTCAAGGAAACATAACGTTAAGTTCAACAAAGAAATGATAATCTTGAGAATGACAGTTATGTGATTCCTTGTTCACACAGACCGCACAACTAGAGATGGAAGAATGCGAAAGGAACGTAAACTCTTTGAACCACCTGACCAAAGTCATCCTCAAAGACTTCAAAACAGACATGGCTTCTTCAATCAACGCTACCTTATCCCACATCAACCGTCGCTTTGACAAGATTAAATCTTCCGTGCCCCACAAACACCGAACTTTAAGACAGCTACTGCCTCAGTTTGAAGCATTTGAAGATGGAATAGACGAGGAATTGATGTGGATGAAACAAGCCGTGGATGCTTTGGAATCGTATAAGAATTTATCTAATGTAGAAGACGTGGAAGAGGAAATAACCAGATACAAGGTGGGTGGTTTTCCTCTTTGTAATTTATTGACGGTTTTCAACCATTCCCAAGAGAATTAAATAACAAAAGACACGGCGGCCATGTTGGAGGATATAACAAAAGAATTCATTGATAATTCTTTTGTCAAGTTCTCTCCAACATGGCCCCCGTGAAAACCATCAATATGCGACCGAGGGGCTTATTTTGAACAACAAAAAAGCTACAAATTTCCCTCCCCACACTTTTGGGACGTTTGACCAATCTCAACCACCCCACTTCTTAGTCACCTTAGCCTTGGACATGTTTCTGTATAATATATGTGCCCCCGGCCTYGACATTTGTTTACGTGTCATCTCCAATTAGGAAATGTTTTCTAACGTGGAGAAGCATAACAACTTCGTGGACCAGAAATCCCAACAGCATCAACAGTTACGTTCGTCTCTCAATGACCTTGTTGATCCGACTGAACTGCAAAACAAAATGAACGAGTTGAGTAATCGTTGGAAGTCGGTACGAGAAGGCACTGAAGATAATATTAAGAACTTAGACGAGTGTCATCGGCTACTGAAAGAATATGAAGAGAGATTTAAGAAAGTGAAGATGTGTATTGATAATGTGGAGGGAAATCAGGTATGGTTTGTCATTACCTTTTCCGAATCACTTGTTGCATCGTTGATATCATTATCATCATCATCATCAGTCATTAACATCATTACCATCATCATCCTCTTCCTCATTATTTTTWCTGCCACGTCTATCAACCTTTGCCATTATTATCATCATAATTGTAATCATTATCATTACTACTATCACTACCATCGCCCATTGCCCACCATCATCATCATTAAAAAATATTATCTATGATCATCACCGTAAGTACGGCATCGGCGCAGTTTAAAAGGATCGAACTGATAGCATGTGAAGGCGCCTCTGGCAACCACTATACAGTCCATGTATTATCCCGGAGCACATCTCTAACCAGTGTGAGTTAGTTAGGGTTGATTTGAGAGGAGGGAGGAGAACCCGGAGGACCGGAAAACCCTGGGAGTCAGAAAGAGAACCAACCAACTCAGCTCACATGGGGCGACTGGGATTCGAACCAAGTGGGTCACTTTCTACTAACCTAAATTTACCCCTCTCATTCTTTCCACCAACACACATTCTTGTTACAAATAAACRTACACTACCTGGATGGTTTACTTAACCGAATAGGATTTGAACTTCTTATCGATACAGGTTTCAGAAAAAGAACTCGACGACGTACAAACAACATGTACTGAACTACAACAGACATACGATCGCTTAGTCAACATTATACCCAATAAACAGTTTAAAAAGAAATTGGCAGCAAAAACAACCCCAGTCGTGCAGGAATGGAATGAACTTTACAACCGAGAAAAATTTAAATTATTGAACAAGGATGTTGAAAACGAACGAAGAATAGTCGAGGAAGCCATGGATGGATTGTCAAGAGAAGTGAGTTTTATAGAGGAACAGTTAAAAAGCGACGGGTATAGTGAGGAACTCTACGAACGTTGTAAGGTAAGAGTGTAGAATTCATACACCAAATCGAAATATGGCGACCAATTTGAATAAAAATATTGTTCTTCACTGACTTTTTCACATGYATAAGAGGCAATTCTCTTGATGAGAGGCTAGTCAGTCGCTGCATGGTCAGTGCAAAACAATAGTTATTCAAATTGGTCGCCATATTTCGATTTGGTGTGTTGAGGAAGTCGTTTTTCCGTACCTCTTCTCCACAAAGACGTCACATGCAAGGGGTTCATAAAACACCCTACCTGGTGTGTCAATACAATAGAAAATATTAACTTTCAATAAATTTTGATCCTCATGTCGAGGAATTCTTATCTTTTGAACCCATAATTTAGAATTGGTTCAAGAGGTTTATGCTTCATGTTTTTATATTATGAACTGAAGATATAACCTATATATAATGATGAAGTAAAAGTGGCAAAAATAAAGTACTACTCTGCATACTATTCTTATAATACATTATTTTGCACATGACATTTCCAATATCTTATTGAGTTAATAAGGAAGCTCTGGTGCCTACTGTCAAACTTATTTGTGTTTTTTTTTTTTCAAATGTTTGTCTMAGGACGTGTTATGCAATCCCGACACTCGAACCTCCACGGAAGAAAACCTAAACCAATTACGTCAAACGCTGCTCAAACTAGACGAGTCGTTCCCCAACCCAAAAACCAAGGAATTAATACATGGTTTTGATGTGAGATGGAACGAACTGAAAAATAAATGTGATGGGTTGTTCGACTTAGTTCAAGAAACTGGAAAAGATTTCAGAGAGTATGATGAGAAGCTAAAAGATCTCGTCACCTGGGCTCACGAAGCACAGGAAGTCTTGGATGGTTTAGAGAAAGTGGATGACTATGGGGAATTTCAGACGCTTGTTCATAARTTTCAGGTGAGATGATTTTATATTTTGTGATTTTCATGGAGGTGGCTGTAGAAGTGTTTCAGATCGTAAAACGTATTTCATCGATCCCCAGAAGGTGACATCACAGATGGACGAATATTTATCGATGTTGTCCGACCTCCACAAGATCGCCACGAGTCTCTACGAACGAACACAGAATAAAGAAATCGAAGATGACGTTCAAACACTAACCAACCAAGTTGAGGCGCTAGTTCCTCGAGTAGGAACAACGAGCGAGAAGCTAGGAGCAATGCACAAGGGCTTCCAGCAACAGAAAATGGTGCAAGAACACATTGTTTTCCTCAGGGAAGTTGTAAGTCGTCTAGAAGTGGAATACTGTTTGGATCACATCCAGGACGTGGAGAAGGAACTTGAGATCCTAAAGGTTTGTCATTAGAACACTCGGTCTTTTATAATTCGTGATCATAGCGCTTAATGCCTAAGGTTTTTTTTTTCATTTTTAAATTTATTTTTTTAATGAAAAAATTCCGGGCACGCGTTTTCTTAATTCCAGAATTATCAAGGCGATTTGTCTATTCGAGTTGTTTCCTTTCGTCTTTGATACGTCCATACCCTAAACGGGGAGAAGCAATTTGTCATTCTCCGTTTTAGGGTGAGTTATGAATGAGTTGTGAAGGGAATAGCAACGGAGGTGGAGTCACAGAGTCATTGCAATAGACCTCTTTAACTTGGACGTAATGTTTTTACCCATGTTAGTCCATTTATGTGTACAATTCCCTAGAGTATCATTTTTCTCGTTTAACGGTTGAACATGAGATGACACATGAATATGGATACAAATCAAACAAAGAATCTTATTCTTAAGAGAATGACACATGGTCTAAAATGGGAAATCTTTAAGGCGCAATTACACGGATCAATTTTCTCTGGAACTTATCTCGCAATAGTGTTGCGACACAAGTTKCAAGAGTGTTTACACGGTGCGATGGAGACGCAATTGTTGCCAAAAGAGGAAACGATTTCTACTTTTGGCAACGATTGYTGCATCTTGTCTCGTAACATTTTTTTCAAATTGCARTGCTCCATGCAACTTGTGTCTCAACGCCGTTGCAAGACAAGTTGCAGAGAAAATTTATCCGTGTTATCGCGCCTTAATACTCAAAAGAATAAGCTTTATTGTATACTTTCCCCTACTAGGATATACTGGAGTCGCTTGAGTCGCACGAAGAACCCATTCAACAGTGTGTGTCGGACATCAGTAACCTTTCCGATGACCCRGACGTCTTTCCTTCTGTCAAGGAAGCAGTAACACGTCTTGAAGCKTTATGGAACGATGTAGCACGGAGATGTGATATGAGAGAGGCGGACTTGAATATCGCGTTGGAATACTGGCGGCAGTTCCAATCTGCTCTACGCTGCTTCAAGGAGACGCTAGCGATGGGAGAAGTGGAGATGACACGAAGAAAGACTTTGGTCTTTTCTGAGATTGAAGCAATCAATGATGAAATAGCATCTTTAAAGGTATGTGTGTATTCTTTTTGCTTGTTTTTTGAATAATAGTTTTGATTGTCTTTCATTTTCTTTTCAAATTTCATATCATAAAATTTCATAAAAATTATTCATAAGTTTTGCTTCGCTCACTTTTTTCCTTGACCGTCTTATTTCTTTCTTTGATTCTTTTTCCTCTAATTGTTTTATTTTCTTATTTTTCCTTTCCCATATTTCCTCTTTTCCTTTTCTGCCCTAGAATGGATAGATTCTGACTTTGTTTCTCATTTTTTTCCCTTTGCCATCCATTTCTATCTCTTTCCTTTAATCCTTTCCATCCTTTTCCATTCCGCTTACTCCCTCCTCCCTCAACATACCCTTCGACTTTCATTTCCGAAATCATACCCAACTAACCATTCTTTATTCTATCTGTCAAGCAATTCCAACACGAGCTCCAGAATCGGTTAGCAGATTACGATTTCATGTTTGAAGTTGGGGAGAAACTAAAGCTGACCGCTAGTACCGAAGGAGCAGAAAAACTAGACGAGGAGTTGGATTCTGTTTCCTCTCTTAGAAAGTCTCTCCTAGACGAGATTCGCAGTCATTTGGGACATCTGAATACWATGGCTAAGCGTTGGCATGGAGTCAAAGAACAGATGCATAACTTTGTTGAATACATGGATAAAGTCGACTCGAAATTGGAAAGACGCAAAGAAAGTAGGATATCACAAGAATGGATGAATCAAGTCCAGGTACTTTATGTTGTAAATAGTGAGTGTAGTGGTAGTGTGTGTGTGTGTAGCAAACCTCACGAAACAATCCCATACGCGGAGTGATGGTTGTAAGTAGGTTACTTTCACATCTTTGAACAAACAATTGATGATTAACTTTTTTTTCTCCTTTCCTTTATTTATTTTCTTTTTCATTTTTCGAAAAAATGCCTTTTTCTTGTTCCAAATTTTGACTTGACTTTATGACCAGCTAAATTTGCGCCAGAGTTTTTCGAGGTAGCAATCGTTGAAACAAACTCAGGTCTGTTATTCTACGTACAATATTTCAATCTCTAAAATWCTTTGACAGGGMGTATCTAACGAACTGCTCAAGCGAMGACAAAGCTTCACAGCATTTGCCGAAGAAGGCCGACGACTCTCCGACGGATTCGTGAATGCGGGATCAATGCATTTCAAGGCGCAGTTATGCAGTCTGAAAGAACGATGGAATGAACTGTTTAGTAAAGCGGTYATGTCCGAGAGCACGGTCGAAGAAGGACTGAAACCACTCAATGAGTATCAAGAGGCATTTGAAGAATTTACCTCTCGGTTTGAAGAACTCGAAGAGAAGGTAGAAACAGATCTGCCAAAGTTCAAGAATTCAGAWGGAGTCTCTTTACAGATAGAAGATGATAAGGTAGCCTATATTTTCATTTTCTGTACATTTATATTTTGATTGATTTATCCCACACTTCTTAGAAATGCCGCCCATCTCTGCTYAACTTTCCATACCGGAAAGTTGTTTTATAGTCGGCAACATTCYAACGTTTCCTTCCTTTAGACGTTGTGTTTTGAACATATTGTCTAAATGCCTAGGTATTTTCAATGGTGTTGGATGAAAAGATTATATAATGCTTTCTCGTGTCACTGCACCATGGAATATCCCACTTATYACTTGTTAATTTTCGCCTCCTGAACGCTCATGTGTATACAATAAAATACGAGTGACTCATGGGATATTCCGTAGTATCCCACTCAACGCCATTATGAATGACTAGTATCAATATCTTGTGGAKCGGGCCTTATCGATAAGAGAGAGTGGGGTCGTGTGCTTAATTGTTCATCGCTGCTCAATTGCTAAAGCCGCTTGTTACCCCTTCCCCATCCTCATCGCTATATCCCCCTCCACCAAATGTTTATCATACAGTGATTCCACTATTTAGCAGATACGTATTAGCTGACATCATGTATTAAACGGACAATTGCTCGGGTCCCGATATTTTCTACTCATTATTTTTACTGTATATTCGTAGACTGAGATTCTATTCAGCGGGTACCAGGTAATATCAAGGTCCCGAAGGTGTCCGATGAAACACCGGTACCACTCTATTTGTAAGATCTCACTAAACTTGGTTTTTCAGGTTTTGATTGCCGAGCTGCGCGAGCTTCGCGGCTTGCTCAACAATTTAATCTGGAAAGGATCCAACCTAGCGGCAAGTGTTCGTCTCAAAGACTTGGACATCAAAGGAACCTTGAAACAACTGGAAGAAAAGTGGCAAGGGGCTGTACACTGTGCAGAACAGAGATTAGCGGAGCTCGAAGCTCTACATATTGAATGGCTCGACCGAGAAGAGATGATGAAAAACATGGAACTCTTGGTAGAAGAAGCTGAGGACCAGATGAAAAACGAAAAATGTCTTACGAGTAGAGATGAAGGATTTTTGAAAGAGGCGCTTCAGTATTATGAGGTAGGTAGGGAATCAAGAGTGGCATAGTGATAGTGCTCTCATTTTCGCCTCTGGAGTCTCGGGTTTGATTCCTGAACTCGCCATCACGTGTGAAGGTCTCTTCCTTTATTCCAGGKGTTTTCTCGGTTCTCATGCTCTGCAAAAATTAATAAGCTAAAATTTATTCGATCTGTACGGAGTAAGCTGTGCCCTGAATTTAATCAGGCCAAAAGTAGTTCAGAATATTTAAAAATTTGAAGGTAACTCGCCACATCCATAACACGAAATGACAATCATCCGACATAGCGGCTGTGATGTCACGTCCAMCACAGGAATGGGCATTTACTTTCATCTGTTATTTACCTTAGATTTTTTTACTCTTTTCCAGGGTTTTCAGACATCGAAGAAAAACCGCGAGAAAGATTTCGAGGATGCCGTGACAAACTACCAAGACCTTTTAGAAAAAGACAGAGGCAAATACATAAGGCAAGACAGTGTGGAAGATAAGTGTGACAGCCTGAAAAAGAAGTGGGATTCCTTGGACGTTGCTATTCCTGAACGTGTGGATTCCTTAAAGGAAGAACTGCAGAGCTGGAATAATTTTTATCGTGAACTGGACGAGTTTGTAGCCTGGCTGAATGAGATGGAAAGTTTTACGAAAATAGATAAACCACGTGATGAAAAAGAAGCCAAGAAGCAGCTGAAGGATCTTGAGGTAAAAGGAGGAAATCTGTTGTAAGGAAGGATATCTTTCCTACATTAGTTTCTAACGCCCTTGATTGGTTTCTAATCCGGTTTGAGTTCACTTTGACTGTAGCATTGTATTTAATTTTCCACATGGTCAGTGGATGCTCTAAACAGAGGATGCTGTACTGCCTGCATCGAATCATAGTTAGTAGAATACTATCTTTGATCGAATCAGCTAATATACTTGCGTTGTTATTCATGCTATCTTTATAATTACACCACAACAAGCACCATATGTTCGTTCGTTCGTTCGTTYGTTTGTTTGTTTGTTTGTTTGTTCGTTCATTTGTTTATTTGTTTGTCTGTTTTTTGTTTGTTTTGATTGATGGAACGACCAACCGAACCCCAGAGGCGCGGCGTTAGTCACCTATGAAAACGGRTTAAATGTAGTCTGAACGCAGTGGCAAAAAGTCACAAAAAGCATGCAGGAAAGAACGTCATTTGATAAATTCCTCTCCTATATTTTTTGATAATAGGAGTTCCAAACAGCTTTTAGGAATCGCCAAACTGCTTTTGAAGCCTTGATCAAAGAAGGACGCGAGGTTCGTCTCCATGCCAGTAAAGGCGAAGCAGCAGATGCTCTGAATGAGAATCTGACTCATTTAACAGAACGATGGGACGAGATGCTGCGATGGGCTGCAGGGAGATACCAACTGCTTGCTCTGTCTCGACACTACCTTGATTCATCAAAACAAGTTGTGGTGTACCTGAATAAGATAGAGGAAAAGATGAAATCAGCTAAGGATATTCCACCTGCCGTGTTAGAAAAGATTAAGGAAGAATCTGAAAAGGCCAAGGTRAGAAAAAGAGTAACTGTCCCCTTTATAGTTCCCAGCGCCATCTTGAAAGGTAGCCGTGCATTTCTATCGAAGCGAGACGAACGGGGAGCTTGCAATGATAGAGAGACATGTAAATAATTGTCCTAAGTGTTWAAAAAGGTCTCTATCTTTGCAAGCTCACCGTTCGTCTCGCTTCGATGCAAAGGCATACCGCTACCTTTCAGACACTCCATTCACCTAATCGAAAAATGGCGACCAATTTGAATAACTATTGTTCTGCACTGAMTAGCGACTGACTAACCTCGTGTTCACGTGAAAACACAAAAGCGTTTTCACATGTATGAGAAGCTAGTCAGTGCAGAACAATAGTTATTCAAATTGGTCGCCATTTTTCGATTAGGTGTATAGGTATTCGAAGCCCGARCTTGTAAAGATGTGTCCAATGGGTCCGTGCTGTTAAGGCAATCATAACGCTTCGATAATATGGTTACAGAATGAAAGTACGTTAAGCTACAGCGCGGCTAAGGATTTGGCTTCTCGTTCCTCGAAATCATTTCTCACTACTATTTGTGTYGATCAAATGTCTTAAATGATATAATAAACAGCAGATTTTATTGCAAACATTTTTCAGGCAAAAGTAGAAAAATGGAACGAGCAGTGTTTGGACCTGGATGTCGTCTTCAAAGAAGGTCACCTTATGGTACAACAGAAGTCCTCCGGTAAAGCCATGGACTTTGATGAACAACTGGGCAACTTGAACTGCGAGTGGAAGACAGTGATTCAAGATATCGAGGAAAGGAAGTCTGCTATCGAGAAAACAGCCAAAAAGTGGTGGGAGTTCACCAGAAACAAAATGAAGATGCTGCGGTGGCTGAAGAAAAAGGAGAGTGATGCCGACTTTCAAATAAGCTTTGATAATCCACAAGAACAAATGAATACATACCAGGTAACATGACACGAGTTGATTACGTGTTAGTGTTCATGCGATAATGGGTTTAATGGGCATTTTGTTACCCATATGGCTTTCTTTTTGGAATCGGAATAACCGGGGTAATCATTTGTAGACGAAATTACCGCTCTAAAGACAAACTTTAATTTGGAAATCCCATTTTGGCAGTTCGTTTCCTATTCCTAAAGACCTAATTCCTTTTTCCAGTATATCGATTTTTTTCCAAAGCAAAAATACCAAGAAATCTCAGTTCCCAGTTAGCCCCTTTATGACCTTCGTACAGGATATTAATATAAAAGAAATGGTATAGATGGTAAGTGAGCAACACTGAAGGCAGCCAGCTCTGAAGGCAACAGCCCGTCTTCTTTTTTCGCTCATTGTTTCGTGTGACACACGAAATTAAGGTCAAGCCTCGTTTCGTTGTTCCTTTTAGAAAGTATTAGAATAACAATGAAAATAAGTATTTTTGTTTCCTTTTTAGAACATCCTCGATCGCCTAACTGCCCATAAACTTGACCTTGAAGCACTAAGTAAAGCAGCTGAAGACATGAAGGAAGATGACGAGGATGGCTCAGCTATCAAAGAGATCAAAGAGCTCATCGAAAAGTTCGAAAAAATACAAAAAGATGTAAAGGAGAAGAAAGAGCACTTCAAGCGCGTTTCAGACAAGTGGCAAAAGTTTTCCGATCAAAAACACAAGATGAATGCTTTCTTCAACAACACGCAGAATATCGTGGCGAGGCGCCGACTTCGAAGCTCAGACGATTGTAAAARACAGATTGAGGAGTGCCTGGTAATATAAGCTACTTTATTTAGGACCTCAATCGCTTCCTTGTGAAGGAAATGTGTCTGCCGTCATGGCTGCTATATTGGGTCCCACGTAAAAGAATCAGCAGCAAGTTATCCAATATGGCGGTTGTGACGTCACAAGAGGCACGGACGGTCTCCATAACATCATTACCAATGCATTGGTCATGCAACTTGTGTGCATGGTTTTTGTGCGGTCATATGTATGCTAGGCCTCGAGAATGATGTGACCAATGGTGATAAAAATGTGATATAAAAACAGAAACCAATCAAACATTTTTTATTCGCCAAAGATGGCGTTCCATGTTCCTGTTAGAAATGAAGGCCTTCATAACCTAGTTTTTATCCTCACTCATCCTGACTATTTCTTATCTCGATTCCTTAGTCTTTGAACAAGAACTTAGAAGAAACGGAAGGCGTAATGGAGAATGTCAACCAACAAGCTTCCATTTTGTTAGAAGATCTCGAGCAAATGGAAGGTTTTGATGTTCGAGCTATGGAAGATGAACTAAGAAAGGTACGTTTATAAATCTTTCTCTCACGATACATTATCATAAAATGCAGCTAACATTGAATATGGGGTACGAGGGACACGAGTGAAAAACGTCTGCGCATGCTCTAAATCCGTATGCAAATTAGTCAGACAAACGTCTTCATTCTATYYTTAAAATAYGTAAATTTGACTTTCAAACATGCCTGATAAATTGGACTTCACAAAATGCCAAAACTTAGTGCCCATGCTTGAAACTTAAGGCTAATTCTTTCATATCGTGTTTGTTAATACAGCGTCTTGGTCTCACAAARGTATACTCGTGAAATATTTTGTATACTCGGAGAAAACAAACATTTATTTTCTCACTCAAACTCACTTTCACTTTCCTTAGGTTAACCAACAGTTTATCGAGGCGCGGCTTCAAGTTGACAATAAACAAAAAGCGCTGGAGCAAATAGCCGAACAGTGGGAAGAYCTAGAGAAAGGAAAGGAAGAGATACAGAAGTGGTTCACTGATGTCAAGCGGGAATTGTCTGTTTCTGATGATGATGTCGAAGAAGAACCTGTCGTCGTCAAGAGAAGGCAAAAGCTCAAGGTCAGTTGTTTGAGCATCAGTCTGCTGCGCGAGAAGTCGTGGGTTCAATAGACCCCTTGCATTGAATAGTCACATAATAATGCTGATAACCTTAATAACGAATCAATCTTGATCATGGGGACTGTTCTTCAGCTGAATCACAAGCTTTGAATTCGATTCATTCTGGGCGACAGCACAAGGTGGTCAGTGTTTGACCAACATGTGATGTACATAATGAAACTTGAAGACTTTTATCAKTTGATTGAAACCCAGGAATATTGATGTATCCTGAATGTRAATTTTTACCTCTTAGGGTAAGGTCGCATCGCAAGAAGATCGGGTAAAACGTCTCAGCTGGCAGGCTGTCAAACTGATGGAGAACTTCGCYGATGAAGTCGACGCTGATATGGGTGACACCTTCAAACCATTGCTGCGGGAATGGAAAAGTGTACARGAACTRGCAGGTCTTCCCGTCCCAGAAGACGATCCGGTTTTAATGGCCAAACTCAACAGAGAAACATCTTTTTCTACGACAGATCTAGAAGATAATAACCTAGAAACAGAAGCATCTTCTTTGCAGTCAAAACGGGCGCTTTCTGTTGGGAATGGGATTTCACTTACTGATTTTGGAAGGAAGCGTTTGCACAGCGAAAAGTCTATGGATACGYTATGGAGTTCAAGCAGTACATTCTCAATCAATATCGATGCTGATGAAGGATTACAGAGTAACTACAGCCTCAATGTGGGAAGCAGTGATATCTTCCTAGACGGAAGTCAGATCAGTATCAACGGACAACGTGAGCGCCAGGACACTATCTCTGAAGTACAAACAGACGACAAAGAAGGATCCGGTGATATTCATGATGCTTTGGATGCAGGTGGAGAATTGCACAAGACGACGGAAAGTTTGGAAACGGTAATGGCCGAAGAGACTCCAAGACCTGATAGGACAGAGGACGAAGTAAAGGTCTTAATGGAAGACATTATACAGAGGATCGAAGACACTTGCAAGCAGCTGTCTTCGTGTGTGTATGAACCTGAAGACACTGAAGAAGACATCGTTAGAAAACTGGAATCGTGCAAGGTAAAGATCATTCTAATGGACCCTTCTCAAAACTAATTTAGATGCAAGGCTAACGTCAAAATACAATAGAAATCACCTTTTTCACACCTTTAATGGAATTTGTGGCATTTCTTTTRTATTTCCATGTTAAAAGAAAAATTAGAGACTAAAGTATAAGACGTTACGACGACCTCATGTTGTCATTCTCAACAAAATTTGAAATGACAAAAAAAATCGCCGATTTTCTATATGCTCAAATAGGTTATAAAGTTCACCAATAAACAATAATTGGCTCGGAAAAAAATTTTCATGTCTGAATTCTACTTCCGAAATTGTCAAAACCTCGTCCGCCATTGCTATGAGCAGCGGTTTTGTAGTTGCATTTAGATTTATGTTTGACGTCATACGCGCAACTAGCATTCTTTTTACCCACACTGACTCTACAACATTCTCTGTAAGAAGGCATGACTTGGTTTAAGGCTCGCTTTTAAATCAAAGAAAGTCGAAATTTGGTTGCAATTACACATTGATAAAACCCGCKAATTTTGAAGCATGGCGCCTATGACATCACTTCCTTCGAATCACTAAAAGTTGCCAGGAACGAGTCGCTTAATGGTGGACTCAAAAGGCCAAACTTTACCGGCTAAATACAACATCTTCCCAGTCTCGTATCGAAAAAGAATTTGGACAGCAAACTATATTACGTGTCTAGTTTTATATGGTACAATTTCCAGGGATGGTGTATCAGTATCAATAGCCTAACAACATTAATCTACAAATAGTTAGGCCTTCAAGTGGCTCGGATGATCAGTGTTGATTAGTSCTTTCATTCTTTCATTTTAATTATCAAATGCACAGTTTATTCATTTACCTCCACTCTCTTTTCTCTTACGAATCTGATTTATTGATTTCCAGTCTCTTCACGAAGATTTGCAAACTCAAAAAACCGAGCTCGACAATCTGTCGGAAGACATTCGAAAGGCCAACCTCGAAATCCCTCAAGTGGAGACCTCCTTAACTGAAGCTGAGACAAAGTTGACAGAAGGTCTTGGTTTGGCGCCTGATACTGCTGGCGAGCTGCAGTGTGTGATTGATCAGTTTGGCGAGTATAACACAAGTGTTCAGGAGTGGGGTGCTTGGTTTTACCCAGCCCAGGCAACACTAGAGGAGTGTCAAGGAGCTTGGATGAACAGAGCTTGCTTAGAGGAAATAGATGAGAAACTGCAGGTAAAAAATACTTTGGAGCTTTCTTGTTTGGGATATGACCTTCCAAATTTTATCAAATCCTGAAACAACCTCTGGGCCGATGAAAATCAGGGCATGGCTAACTCACAGATCGAATCGGAATTTAGCTTGTTAGATTTTGCGCAGATAAGAAAAACCGGAGAACCCGGAGAAAAACCCTCGAATCAAGGGGGGAGAGTCCCAACAAACTTTACTCAGATGAGATCCAGAGTCCAGGAATCTGATCTGAGGCCCTAGAGGTGAGAGGCAAGTACATTACCGCTACACCACCTTGATTCCATTGAATGTTGTCCGCAAGTACTGGTCATAGCTTCGTCGCGAAATTTTTGCCTCGTCCTCGTCCAAGTTCCAATGATCTTGTATTGTATTTGTAATAATCTGTGTTATGAGGTTGGTTTGAAACGTTCCCCYCGTAATACGATTTTTTTTTACAGGTACTTGTTGACGAGATGGACAAGAACGACATGTTAATCGGTGAGGTTTATAACAAGGGTGACATCTTGCTGCAACTTATTGCGGGACAATGTAAAACAACTCTGGAGAGTCAGCTAAACGAACTAGAGGAAGACTGGGCTGACTTCTGTCAGAACACTATCTCAGTCAAGACCGAGGTGGAGGATACTCTTTGTCAGTGGACTGAGTACGAGGAGAATAGAGACAAACTGAATGAATGGCTCTCAGACGTTGAAGAAAAAAACAAGAACTGTGGGAACGCACCCGCGGACGTCGAGACCTTGAAGGACCAAATTGAGAACAACAAGGTTAGTGTGTGTTTTTAATCCTTTCAGCATTAACGGGTGGGGCATAAGAGGCGTTTGGTGGTAACCAAAGAACCAGGAGAAAAAGCCTCGAATCAAGAGGGAGACTTTATAAACTCTGCTCACGTGTGATTTAAATTCCAATTCAATGCATTTATTCTAGAAATTTAAACAAGAAATGGGTATGCAGGAGCTGATCCTGGACTTCATAAACATCAAAGGCCAAGAAATTAGCTCTAAGATTGAAGAAAACGAAAGCTTTGAGCCTGAGCTCCAATCCATTAACGACAAGTGGGGTTTAGTCAAGGATTTGGTGTCTCAACGAAGCCGTTATCTCAAAGAAGTTCTCTCAGATTTGTGTGACTTTGAAGAAGATGTTGGTCAACTTGGGGATGTCTTAAACCATACTGAAGTTTGCCTCGATGACAGCGAGAACACAAAAGAAAATGACTTTAATGGATTACAAAAACAGCTTGCAAAGCTGAAGGTACTAAAACTTTATTCTGATCGCTGTAGCTTTTTCTCGCTCTGGTAATAAAAATTGTTGCACTGGATAATGGCAGTGTCTTAACTTTATGATGCTTCAGATTTTGTTTTGCTGGTGTATGGAATGATATCCCGTAATGTCGACAATAAAATAAAMCTATGATTCCAGCATAAGAAAAGAATGTGCATCGATTGCTTGCGTTTAATTAGGTGACGCAAGATAAATATCTTTAATAGAGCCAGACAAATAGTACGAATATCGACATCGACAGAATTCTAATGAGGTTATCGTTAATCGATATTTGAATAATTTCTACAGCGTTTATTAACCTTTATCTATTAATTTCTTACAGGCCTTAGCAAACAGCTTTGAAGGGAAAGTTACCAACCTGGAAGACGTTCTTCAGAAAGGATCTTATCTTCGTGAAAGGTGCAACAGCGAGGGACGAATTTCCATCGACGGGAAACTAAAGACTATACAAAAACGATGGTCAGACCTTAGCGATAAAATCTCACAGAAACTGCAGACGGTCGAGGATGAGATAAGCGAGTGGACGTCCTTTAATAAAGATCTTGATGACAAGCTTAATGAACTAAGAAGTTATGAGATATCCCTAGGCGCACAGCTGATTGGTGTCTCTGATTTAGCTACTCTGGAAAAAGAACTTGCAGATGTGAAGGTATTTATTGATTTCGAATAACTTGTAAATTTGCGTTACGGACGTGACGTGACGTGACGTGACCCGAGTATTCCCTCATTTGTCCAATTGCTCTGACTGGAAGAGGAAGAGCCTCATGTCTTATGATCAACGAATGCCACTATCATTCACAAATGACTCAGGGGACCAATCAGATTCCAGGTTTTTCCGAGTACCGTTCCTGATGGCATCATCTTGTTAGAAATATTATTACTGTTAATTAGATCATTATTAATATTAGTTGCTATTAATTATAACATGCACTTCATTTTATTCATCGCAGGTCATATGCGAAGAACTGGAAAAGGCCCAGCCCTTCATAGAAAAGCTTAATTCTCGRGGCAAAGAGCTGCTGAGTGCATTGCCTGAAGGGGACAGGGAGTACCTGAAAAATCAATTGGAAATTTTGAAGAAATTACAAGAAAGCGTGATACGCAGCGCAGTGGACAGACAAGAGGAATTGATTCGTAAAATACTCCAGCAACAAGACTTCGATACTCAACTTCAAAGTTGCTTTCATGTGGTCAATCAGGTTGAAGCTTCTGTGTCTAACGAGTTTGGTATAGAAGCTGATACTGGAGCGATGAAAGAGAAGCTTGCTCTCTGTGAGGTACGTTCCTTATTAATAGTACGTCTATATGTGCCTTTTACCCTTTTTCGTCACCATAAAAAATCTAGCGTTCGAGTCCATATGACCTGGCATTGCAAAGCATGAGCCTGGAGAAAAGAGAGGTCSAGTCTTGTATCTGCAGTCCTCTTTCCAATATTCATATGATTTTTACTCCTTGGAACGGAGCTATGCAGACCATTCACTATCATACAGTTAAAATTACTATAAAAATCGTCCCATTTATTAGGTTCTTATTGAATTTCAGTCTCTATCAGTTGAGCTGCAGAACCAAAAAGAGTTTATCAACAACCTMAGCGAAAAGGGAAAGACTATTGTTCATGAAAATCCTTCAAAACGAAGAGAAACAATGGATAAACTGAGAGCAGTCGCTGACCTCTGGAAAAAAGTGAACAGACTAACAAACGAGAAGAAAGAAGAGTTGACAAAATGCATTAATGAGCAGGAGAATTTCCAGGAGAACTACGCTTCTTGCATGGAAAAGTTACATGGAATGACAGAAAGTTTGATGTCGGATACGTACGATCCCRATGATTTAAATGGACTAGAGGATAAAGTTCAAAACGTTCTTGATTTGGGTCAAAGTATCTTGTCAAGCGTTCCTGACTCTCAAAGAACTGCCTACAGCGAACGAATTGAAGCGCTGAGTGAAACTTGGGCCAAAACGCAAGAGCTCAAGAAACGAGCTTCAGAAGTTCAAGAGCAACTTGCGATAAACGAAGAAAAATCTAATGAAATTCGAGAGCAGTGCAAAGCGTTTGAGAGCGAGCTAGAGCATTTTAATCAGTGGCTCGAAAGATCAGAGGAKATTCTAAAAACAGATATGTTTTCAATCCCCGAAGAGAAGCAAATGGAAGAGATAAAAAATCATGAAAGACTGTACAACGAGCTGCAACAAAATTCACTTGTCGTYAATGACCTGATGGAGAAGGGGCGAAAACTCTCCTCCAGTGTTCCTGGGGAAGAACGAGAACACATCAAACACGAGCTAGAAACCCTCTCCCTTCGCTGGACTAATATTAAGAAACTATCTGATGATTATGGCTCTCAAATGGAAGAGTGCATCGCTGAACAATCAGTGTATTATAACGAGCTTGAGAATTGTGTGAAGTGGATGCAAGAAGCAGGAGCAGCCATTGCGTTGTTTGACCTTGACACAAATGACGAAGACGCCGTGCGAAGGGAGCTATCAAGTCATCTGGAACTTTGTGGAGAGATTGAAAGACGGCAGTCTTGCATTGAGTCGGTACTTGACAAGGGCAAAGGTCTTGTTGGAAAACTCCCCCCTGAGGAAAGAGAAGTGGTCAAGGAGCAGCTTGTACGAYTGGAAGAAGAATGGACGAAACTACAAGAACAAGCAAGTGATAAGAAAAAGGAATTGAAGGAGTACCTTGGAGAGGCAAGTGACGAAGAAGCTCAAGAGACTCCTGGCATTATAGGTTTGAAACAAGAGTTGGKCGATCGATTGCTTTGGGTACAACAACTAATCAAGAGCTTTCCAGATGGCAAAGAAAGTTCACGTTCTGCTGTTGGTTCGGAAAGTAACTCCGTAGAGACACTAATCGAGAAAGCCGAGACTGTTAGTGAAACCTTGGCTGGATCCGAGAAAGAGTCGTTAAATGAATGTCTCGACAAGCTTAAAGAAAACTGGGTTGCTCTAAAGTGCCTACTAAGTGGACGCAGAAGAAGACTGGGAAGACAAGGAAGTGAGATGGAAAGCAAGCAAATGAAGTTTGGAGTGCAAGTTGCTCAACTTCAAATGTTAATCGATGAAATCAAATCCAAGTCATTGCCTAGTGTATCAACCATTGATCCAACCAGTCTTGATGGTACCTTGGAGGAATTCGAAAAAGTAAGAGAGAACCTCGAGGAAGGAAAGAATATGCTTGAAAAGGTATCACAACTCAATGATGAATTAAAGGAGATCTTAGAAGATGAAAATCAAGGAGAAATAAATGTAGCAGCCAATGAAACGCTGATGAATGACCTAGAGAAAGAATTCAATTCCATTAGCCGGGACTTTGAGAATCAAGAACTGGAATTCAAAAATGCTGTCAACAGCCTACGAAAAATCAGTGATGAGATGAAGAAAGTAGAGACTCAGATCGCCGCTAAAAAAGAAAGATTCGATGAAATCGTTTCGTTCGATTCCGAACCCGACGTGGAGGTCCATAATTTACAAGCTCTACTTGAGGAAGTAGAATTGTGCGAAGCTCAGTTGTCCGTTATGGATAGCAAGAGCAAGAACCTTCTTGAAGAACTAGGAAACCCTGGCCAGGTTCTAACAACTCGTACCTTCGATTTGTTTGACAAAATACAAAAGTTCAAAATGGATGTGAATGAAACAATGGAGCAGAATCATGTTGCAATGGCGGAAGATCAAAATCTGGATGACGAACTTCAGCGGTGCCTGAACTTAATTTCTCAAGCCGAGGCAAAATCTACTGAAGAAGTGCATGTGCTTGAGATACCGGTGCTGGAAAAACAGGTAGAGGAAGCCAATGCAGCGTTAGTTTCTTCGGAGATCGCAGCTGAGGAACTTCTGCAGAAAAGCGATTCAATGCTTGGAAAACTAAAGCCAGGACAGAGAAAAGCAAAGGAAGCAGAGCTTGGTAAACTTCAGAGAGTTCTAGGCGAGGTTAAAGAAAAAAGCAAGGAAAATCTTGATGCTTTTAACAAAAAACTTGAAGGTAAAAAAGAATACGAGAAGCATCGAGAGGCTTGTGGTCAATGGATTTCGGAGATGGAAAAACAACTTGAAAACATTTGCAATGAAGATGATAAAAGTTCTTCACAAGAAAACATTGAAAAGCTAAAGGACATGTCTTGTGCTTTGGTTAGCGAGGATAGTCCTGTGCAGTCCTTTATTAACTACGCCCACAGCGCAACTGTAAATGCTTCTGATGCTGAAAAGGTACAAGTTCAGTCAGACATAGTAAAGTTTCGATCGATGGCTGCAAAAATTGATGATGAGGTTAAAGCGAAGATCGAACTAATAGACGAAAAGACCAGAAAATCATCAGAGCTGGAAAATAATGTTCAAGAATTAATTGTGTGGCTTATGTCTGAAGAAGAACAGCTAGATATGATTATGAATGGAATCGAACGTGATTCCTTGAAGGATAACATAAAAAGTGTTAGAAACATTCAAAGTGAGATGACATCTAAAAAACAAGACATCGATAAAATCTTAAAGGAAGCTAACGAGCACAAAGGCAGTGATGAAAAGTTCAAAGCGCAGGCATTGACTTTGAAAAATATATTCGAAAATCTAAAAGACAAAGTAATGAAGAAAGGTGACCTGCTAGATGAACAGGAAAGAGCATTAGGTACCTTTGATGAAGAACTTTCCAAATGCAAAACTGTGGTTTCAAAATTGCAAGAACTTAACTCAGAGGATGTTCCCGTATTTGAAAGTGCCGAGGAACTGCAATGTTACCTCGATGACAGGATTAAAAGATTCAGTGAAATTGTCCAACAGAGTGACTGCATACCAAATATAGATGTCATCAAAGCAACTGTCGATTGTTCAGATTTGGAGGGTTTGAAAGAGTATACTGAATTCCAGAAGAGTGAATTGATTGACAGGTGGGAAGCCCTACAAGTGCAGTTCACAGAGAAAGCCCTCGAGATACGATCGAATTTGGCATTACAGCAAGAACTGAGTAGTAGTTTTAGTGAAGTTTCATCTTGGATTGAAAGTGCCGAAGAAGAGATTTCGTCTTTGATACTCTCCGCCGAAAAAGTAGACGAAATATCCGATTCGATTAAAAAGCTCAAGGATCTGAATGAAGAAACTTTGTCATACGAATCTTTTGTAAAATCTCTGAAAATGAAGGTTGAAAAATCTTCAGTTGACTTAAACAGCAGTTTTAAGGACAGCAATGAAAATAAAGTCACGACGCTTCAAGATAAAATATCCAGTCTACAAACTGAAGTCTCACAAAAACTTAAAGAAGTTGAGGGCTATCTTGGATTTGTCCAAGATGTTGAGAAACGTGTTTCAGAATGTATGGAATGGCTGCAGGAGAAAGAGAGCACATTTAAACAAGAACTGCCGACGTTTGATAGTTCAGAAGAAGTAGAAAATATGTTGGATGAGTGCAGAAACCTGAACTCAGAAATATCATCATTGATCGACAAACTAAACAACGGGAAAAAGAGGCTGAAAAATGAATTTGAATACATTTCACCTGTACTTCGGGACTCCTTGTTAAGTGATCTAGAAAATGTTTCTCAAAGCATGGCTAACTTAGAATGTCAGTTCCAAGAGAGAATAAAGAATCTCGAAACTTGCCTCTCAGAAAATCAAAAATTAGACGATTCGATTGTTGAATTGGAACAGTGGCTAGATAGATCAGAACCATTGAGTGCAGGTGTGGTTGGTACTCAAGACCCACTTGAGAACCTGAATGAACTGAGTCTTTTGCAAGAAGAAATGCCAATTAAGGAAGAAGAACTCTCCAGTCTCGTGAACGAATGTACGTCCCCTCTTCTTTCAAATTTACAATCCAAAAAGCTTGATGATGTCAAGAAAAGAATTTCAAGTGTCAAGCAGTCTTTGGCAGGAAAAGTGGACGAATGCAAAAGTAAGGTAGAAGAGATCAAGACCAACCAAGAGCAGTTAGAGGAATGCTGCAATTGGATCTCAGAAGCTGAGGAGTTAATGTGTTCTGAAACTCCGTTTGATATTGAGGATGGTAGTGAAGATACGGTGCAAGAAAAGCTCAACAAGGTCAAGAAATTAGTTAGTGATTTACCAGTATACGAGGATAAAGTTCAAGCCATTTTGAATTCAGAAGTGCTTCAGCAGGCATCCCAAAGAGATGACGATATGAGACGTAAACTTGAAAACCTAGGAGCAAAACTTGAAAGTGTAGGCAAAAATGCTTCGAACACTGAGAAAAACTTAACTGCCTTTGAAGAAGGGAAAACTGTATTTCTCAAGCAGTTACAACATTGCTCCGATGTTATTGCTCGGATGAAAGAAGAAGACCCCCACGATGTTGATTTTTCGATAAATGTGGATGCGACCGAAATGGAACTTGGACGTCGAAAGGATAGAATTGAGCATTTGAAGGCATTTGAATCTGAGATCGCTGCACTTGAGGACACAAGCAGAGTAATGATGGAATGTCAGCCAGATGCTTCACATGATGCATTAAAAAATCAGATCGATTGTGTCAAGGAAGAATGGCAAGCTGCTACAATGGAGGCAATTATAAAGCATGATGACACGGAAACATGGTTAGCTGATGTGCAGGAATTGAATAAAACGAGGCAAACCTGCAAAGATCAAGTTGAAGCTGTCTTGAAGACAATAGGTGACATGGAAATTGACTCGGCTGACATATCTGGTGCAAATCGCGTTTTGGGGGACCTCAAGAGTGCGCAAGCTCAGCTAGAAACAGCAAAAAATGATTTGGACTGCTTATTGTACAACGCTGATCAAATTACTACTCGTGCAAATGTAGATGAACAGAATTCTTTAGAAGAGAATTTAAAAGAACTCAAAGATAAATACCATCACGTCGAAGAAAAGCTTGCAATGGAAGTTGCCGAGGTTCAACAGAAGATACACGATTTTGCAAAATTCGAGAAGGATTCCGCACACTGTGAAAGCATGCTTACAATATACAAAGCTGCCACACCAGCTGATCTTTCATGTACTGTTGAAACTATTGAAAGCCAAATGGAAAAGCTAAAACGTCTAAAAGCAGACATGGATGAACGAGARAGTCACATGGTCGATTTGAGAGAACAGTCGGACAAGTTTTCTGCGGACCACCAGACAGGTGACTCCAAAGCTTCAAAACGAGCCAGTCAAATAAGTGAAGACTGGGGGAAACTAAAGACCCAACTCGATGAAAAGCTAAAAGAACTTCAACGCCTCTCCGATGGAAAATGCGATTTTGACAAAGAGTATTCTAAACGACTCACTCAAGTAGGGGAATTAGAACGTGCTTTGGACGTTGAAAGGGAAGGTTCTGTAAGTGAAAGAATCGATCAAGTGCAGCAACTGTGTTCGAGTATTGAGTCATTTCGGGAAGATCTCGATCATCTGTCTGGACGAGTTGCGGAGGCTCCTTCTGTGGCCTACGAGCAAGACGATGACCCAAAAGCCAAATTGAACGTTCTTACTTGCCGTTGGGAAGCTACAAAGAACAAGGCATCTGATTTGCTGGAGAAACTTGAAAAAGAAAAGACCGGCCAAAAAGCTCTTAGTAAAGACCTTTCCGACATAGAGCAATGGGTGGATGACGTTACTTCCTCTATTCAAAGCCCACCTTCTATGGATCCGGATGAAGATCCTTTTGAATCTGCTGTTTTGGACAATATGGCGTGGGAGTGTTCTTTAGATGAAAAGGCCTTGTTTGTCGATCGCCTTTCGCTAAAAGCGCATGAAATGAAAAACGATCCCGAAAAAACTGAAATTTTGGAAAAAGTCAGTTTCTTAACACAAAAGCTAGAAGAGGCAAGAAATGCGATAACTGACAAAACCGAAACCATTCAGCATTGCACTAATGAACTCAATCAAATTGCAGAAGAAATAGGAGAACATAGGTTTGTCATGGATGACATAAAAGCTTCTCTGAGTTTTGATGTCATCGTAGACGATGACACCATAATTAAGGATAATATTGGTGCTTTTAAAACAAGTCTTGCAAAAATTGAACTTGGTGGATCAAGATTGCTCCAAGCAGAAAAACGTATTTCTGAAATAAAAAAGGACAATGACTGTTCTATCGAGCTTAAGATCGAAGCCGAGTTAAAAAATACAATAGACGATACGACAGCTCTTCAGAGTTTACTGAAAGGCAAGATTTCTCTACTCGAGCAGGCGTGTGGTCTAAAGGAAGAATGCGTGGAGTATACACAGGTATGCGAGAAATACTTGGCTGAACTTGGTGTTGAATTGAAATTAGACAATGAAGTCGACTTAGAACGCATAAAGATTCGTCTAGAAAGTTGTCAAACTCTTGCTGGTAAGGTGAATAAAACGAAAGATCATTATCAGGACATCCTCGAGAAAAGCACACAGATCCTGACAGGACTACCCCCTGAAGGTGCGTGCGTCATTCAAGATTGGTTAAAAAACGTAGAATCGACTAGAAACGAGCTACAACGCAAGCTATCCACTTGTTGCGAGTCATTAAAAGCCGCAATGTCTGAGAAACAAACCTTGGAAGATTGGATTAGTGAATCGAAAAAACTCATTGAAAACAGCTGTACACTCTTAAAATCCAAGAACTCTAGTCTCGATTACTCTCTAGTGAACGAGAAAATATTGGACCTACAAGTTTTAATTCCAAAGCTTATGGACAGCCAAGCTATCGGCGAGAGCTTAACTCAGACATCGAGTTCCCCGGAGGCTTTAACAGCTCTCCAGGACGTCCAAGATACCCGAAATAGATTGGAGCAAGCAGAAAAGAGCTTGAGAGAATTTCTTCGTTTGCGCTCTAATTTCGAAGAAGTGACAAAAGACTTGGAGACGGTTTTGGCGAAATGTCAGTTGGAGAGTTCCCATCCTAAATCACCAACAGATGCGATTTGTCAAATCAATTCATACAAGGTAGGTTTACCGCCGTTACCTAGGTAACGGGAACAAATTATCTTTTTGAGTTGAATTTATTTGGTTTGTGCATGATTTCCAAATGTGCTCTTGAAACTATAGACCACTTGTTTGACTATAGACTTCATTTACATCTTTATCAATTGCCAAAACAAATCTCGCAAAGGATTTTGGTAGTGATAAAGCGTTATCTTTTTGCCCCGTTTGACCAGTTACCTTTTTGCGGACATTAAATATAACTATTTACTTTTAAATTTAAAGATAACATCAACGTATCTAGAAAGCACTTTCAATGAATTATATAATGACGAGACTTAGAAATGTTCTTATCTGTCGCTGAAGATTTTAAACACGGTTGGAAATCTGTACTACTACCTCTTTAAAATCATTACTTATAGACTTGTGCAAATAAGTATGTATATTCACCTGGCATTTGCTGTTTTTGTGCGTCACGGGATTAGATAATTTTTCTCTTAGCCTCTCTTCATTGTAACGTTATAACATTTAAGGCAGTCCGCGTACCGAATTAAAAATGAGTCTAGAACTGATATGAATGTGGTACCCAAAATATTCTATTGTATCTGCGTCGAGGAGAATTCTCCGGTAAGTTGTCCTGGTGAGGTAGAGAGAGTAACGCATTGAATGAGAATCCCCACCAGGTGCCTAGCTCGCTAGTAAATTTGCCAGTCACACGTTGTGATGCGACAGAAACGAATAAAGGGGAGTCAATCAATTAACCTGACATTCTCGATGAAGTCCATAATTTAAATGTCGCCATGGAAAGTGGAGTTTGAGAGAACTATCTTTGTCGCCGTTATCCAATTAATTTACATATTCTCGTCTTGTTTATAAACTGTTGTTAAGAGAAAGAGAACGTTCGCTATGAATTTTAATCTTGAATATTAAATTTTTCGTTAATTTGTATTCAACGAATGATTCGTCGAACGAGATCGTAAAAGATCGTATTCGAAGCATGTGATGATTGCTTTTTTGCAGCTTTTTCATCTTCTGTTTCGGAGAAGTATGGATATCTCGTTCTTATCGTTATTTGTATTGTCTGTTTTATTGATATTTTGTGGAGTAATCTTTGATCGTTATGTATTTTTTTAAATGCTTGAAGCTGGCAACACGGACGAAGTAGACGAACCTCGCAGCAGTGGCAACTCCGAGGTCAGTTTCTAGGAAAAACATGTCTAAAAACAAGGCCGTTTTTAAATTTAGGCTCTTGTCATAGCGTATTTTCCATTTGGTGAGTCATTATAATCCATTCTGAAGTGTCTTTATCCATCGTTTGTTTTTCACTAACCAAATTCTGAAAAGGGTTTTCGTTTAGCGTCCCTAGGGATAATGAAGAATCAAACATGAAAATATAATTCTACCAAAAATTGTCCTTTTGAGAGAAATTATGAATTACTTTTGGATTTAATCAAAGTTTACGATGTATATTTAGACAGAAGTTGCCACCTGCTTCAAATGAAGAGTAAGATTTGTGTTAGAGAAAATAAGACTGTTGAAGTTACAAGATGAATGTACACAGTATTTTAATCGCCAAGCTATTTCGCGTCTTTACTGCTAAATATTAAGAAAATTTTGGAAGATGCAAATTGGGGGAAAAACCTCACTTTGTATTAGTGATGCTATAGGGATTTATTTCTTAAGTCTTAGTTATAAACACACACGACAATCGCTAGGAGCGAGTAAAAATTTTTAAAATTCAAATGCATAGATTGAAAAGAAGGTCCATCACTGTTGTGCAAGGCTTGATTTATGAACTTCTTAGGTAGACAAAAGAAAAGGTAGTGCTTTTCAGTTTTTGCTTTTGTTTATAAGGCGCGGRAAAATAACCGTACAATCGATCGTAGTGTACAGCGGTAATACGCTACACTATGTTAAACGTTTTCTAGAGATTTATTCGTTTATCATTTTGCTGTACGAAGCACTACTCCTGCTTTCGATTATGTTATATGTATTCTGTTTTGTCTCATTTTTGCTTGCTTGTTGGTAAATGTTTTTCACTCATTAAAGAAAACTTGTTGCGTTTTCTTTTGGAACTCAGTTATGTGAAGGCCATGAGAACTAATTAAAGATTTTTCAGGAATAGTCACGTGACCAACAAAGGACTTTTCAGATCAATGGAACCGTTTTATCCGTTTTATCAAACACCCGCAATATGATACGAAATCCATTAATACTGGGCACTTAAGCGTCCAGTCTAAGCTAGTCAACGATAAATATCCTTTTAATTGAACACGGCAACTCTGAAAAACCGAAAAACCGTCACAATTTGGTAATGGATTTTAAATTGTGAGGATTTTTGACATTCAAGGATTTTTGACATTCAAGGATTTAGACTTTTAGTTTGATTCTTTAATTACTCGCTTCTTATATGTCTTCTTCCCCGCGGCTTCTGCGCCCTGTTCTATGCTTTTACGCCCTTTTAGAAAATGATAAATTTTATTTCACCCACTCACACATTTTATATTGCATTCGTTTTACCAATATACCTTATTCGTGGTGTGACAATGTTTTCCCAATTCAGCGTGACAAACCTCTGGGGGAATGAAGAGCTATTGTTTTGAAACTCGTCGGGATATCATCGTTACTCCTTTCGTATCTTTTGGGATACTCATGAATTTTTCGAAGAGTAAAAACAAAGGAAAATGAATCCTCTGGAGGTTTGTCACGCTGAATTGGGAAAACATTGTCATACCACGAATAAGGCCTATAAAATGAATGAAACTAATTACTGGGGGACACTCTGACTGCTCTTCGTGCATCGACTAACTCAGTGTTCAAGCACAAATCAATGCTGTTCAATGTAGTTTCAAAGGATCATTCAGATCCGCTTTACCCTAAAGCCTCAATTGAATGATTCGTGTTTGACCATACCTCCCATGTAAGTGATATGATATCCTAATGTCTATTCCATTATTCTGTTATTGACATATCGTTCGTTATTCTATTTAACAATGAAATAAGAAAGAGAAAAAATGACAATTTTTAGGATAATTTCGAGAGGAGTCCTTGTATTGAATTGTTCAGAACACGTTTTTCACAGGAAAACGGCAAGAGGCATGTCCATGTATGCTTGGTATACCGTAGTGAAACTCAATCTATTTTCCTCTCTCTTTTTTCAAGGAATTACTCCAACAACTGAACGAAGAAGATCTGAAGCACGCTAATCAGACAGGTGAAGAATTGCTCTCCGACCTACCAGAAGACGAAAAGGAAATTCTACGAGAAAGGCTGCGGAGTCTAAATGAACGATGGCGTAACACGCGCGATCAGCTTCTAGCAAAGTGCGCTRACCTCGAAGACGAGACGACATTTGACCCGCAGTTTCTAGACAAGATACAGCGGGCTCAAGACGAAGCTTTGGAAATCGATCAACTTATTAAAGAAATAAACCAATCAGAACACGAGAATGTTGAAGAGCTTCGAAAACAATGCGAGGTGAGTCGTATGAACTATTTTATAAGTTGGGTCAAAGGTGCTTTATGATCGTCACGTGACACCATGTTCTATTAATTGACTGAGTGGTTGCTTCCTCTGAATCTTAGAAATTCACGAACAAGGCAGATTGTGGTCATTAACCTGTATCATATGACAGAGTAATAATAATCTCGCGTACTGATTGGCTGGGCGCGTACTTTATGAGAGCACATAGCACGCGCGCGCACTTTTAGTTCCGTCATTCCTGTAATTTGTATTTTATAAAAGAAATTAAAAAACTTGCATGCTGTGCTGTGTGGAGTTATGAAGCACTTGGGGATTGGCAGAACACTCGATAAGTGTCGAGAAGCACTCCGCTACGCGTCGTACTTCTCCTAACACTTCTCTCGTGTTCTGCCAACCCCCGCGTGCTTTATAACTGCACACAGCACACACGCACGTTTTCTTTTTCTTCAAGAAATAACTCCAAGTACACATAAAAAACATGGAAAAAAAGACAGTTGCACACGTCATTCCGTGTCGACGCCTTTATTTTGTATATTGTCCACGGAAGCTAATCTATAAGCTCTGTTTGCCTGTTGTGTCATACACATTCTTCGTTGATAATTGGGTACAAAACAATGGCTCAGGCGAAATCTTTTTTTTTTATCATTTTTTTATTTTTTTATTTGTATTTGGAAATCGGAACAAATTAAAAAAAAGGAAAACAATAGAAATTCCTAATTTATAGCCAATAAATTCTAAAGTAATTACTTTCTCATATATTTTTTTAGAGGAACTTGTAAATCTTGAATTCGCTGTTTCTTAAAAAGTTGTCGACAAATACCCGTGAAAGGAAGTAATTTCACACTCGTTCCCAAAATAACCTCATGTGTTCTTGCGTCGGTAAACTATGATTAGCATTATACAGCGTATTCGCTGACCAGCTGGCCTTGTTTTTATTATATTCTCAGCGTTTGGACGATAGGTTGGAAATCCTCAAATCTCTGATGGCGGCGGTGGACGAAGACGACTCGAAGCTCACCACAGACGATGAAGATGTAGCCAATTCGGTTCGTCGATTGGAGGAGGCGTATAATGAAGGCTCTTCTGTTAAAGAAAGTCTCCAAGCGACTTTGTCATTCCGTGCGCAGTACCAAGCAACTGTCAGTGAAATGAAATCTTTTTTAGCAAGTGCTGAGGATGAGTTGAATGGAAATAACCTCAACAGTGACACCGAGCAAAAGACCTCTCGTTTGAAGGTAGATTTATTTGGTAACTGATGACATCCAAATATTCAATTATTAATATTTTCCTTCGCCTCAAGTATTGTTGTCGTTGTACTTTTTGTCTTTGCAAACTTAATTAATGAGTCATTGCTTGGCAGGCGAACTTCAATGCAAATTCCTTCTGTGTTTTGTGTCCATTTGTTTGTCTTACCAAAAGAAAACAGTAAAAAACAAGTCTTAGCAAAACTGAATTATTTGTTCTGGAATGATAAGAGGGTTTTAAATTTTTCCATTTTATTTTCCAACTTGCCGAAATATTTTTTTCAATACTTTCTTTCAATGCATAAATAATTCTAAACCTTCATTGTGTTTAGTTTGTAGTTTAATCTAACGTCTTTGTCTCTCCAAATTTCTCTCTCTCGAATCCATTTGACGTCAGAGCTCCACAGTACGATTTGATTTTTCCATTTATAATCCTTTTTTGGCATTATTAATCCCATGCTCAGTATTTTCGTGAACTTCCTTGATCTTAATATCAAAACCTAAACAAATTTTCTTTTCTCCAAAAAATGTTCTAAACATTTCACTTCATTTCAAAAAACTTTATTTAATTTATTTATTTTTGTGGTTCTTATTTAGTGGCATTTTATGTCCTTTATATGATAGCAAAGCAATTCCAGCAAAATTATTACTTGGTTTTCTGAATAATTTAAGTCCAGCTATCGTAACATGACAGCTCTTTCTTGACCTTGCCAGAACGTATTCATGATCTAGTGCTCATTTAGCGCATGTTTAATAAACAGTTTTTTTTAGTATACGAGATTTTCGAATGCGTGAAACTTAGAACAGTAATATTGATTTTAATCTCTAATGCTAAATATGGCGGCTTCGAATATGATATAGATCTTGACAGAATAGCAACCCTTTCCTGTATTGTCATGACATCACTATCATCCCGATTTTCCATTCAATTTCAGTTGTTAGTGTTTTCTAAATGCGATGTGAGACGTGGTCTCACATTTCAAATTCTTATTCAAAATATCCAATTTTGGTTTTGTCAACATTATCTAGTATTTTTATTCCATGTATATAATGAACCTTCTCAGTTCTGGATCAAAATTGGTTGTTTTGGCTACAGCACCAGAGTAGATCAGGTGAAACCGGTTTTTAGAAGATTATTGTAGTATTGGAAGTACTTGAATTTTGGTGGATTTACGAAGCACGTGAACTCAATAGTACAAAGTGTAAAAGAGTCGTTTATTGTACTTCATAATTCAAAACACTTTCAATTAACTAATTTCGTATTTTTAAAAAGATAATATAAATTCAATTTGTGATGGTAATTAGATAAGTAGTATTGTAGGTTAGTATTAATTTCGTCGTGGTATTATTTCGACTTTTTAAAATATATTCAAATACAATCTCCATTTACTATTTACGTTGTTTTATCGAGTGAAACTGATTCTGTCAAAACTTGTCCCGTTTGAATTGAATGCAAAAATACTTGCCTCTCTTGACAGACGAAAAAGCCTTTACCGAATTTGCTTTGACCACGAAACAATGGCTTCAAGTCGAGGTTGGACTTGATGTGCTCATACATTTACTGTATTTTATCTTGTTCGGCCTCGACTTCGGAAAAAAGCCATTGTTTTGTGGTCACTCAGGCAAATTCGGGAAAGGTCTATTATCAATCCTGTACAGAAATTACACTTGGAAAGGCAATTTAGATGGATTGATTGTCAAATATGACGTTTACATATTTGGTAGAATTGTCTTTATTGAACAAGGAAATGAAAACGTCGAATGTGAAAGCACTTTATTTCTTTCTAAACTTTGTCCAAAATGACTGACAGGACTTTTTAAAGGTCATCTTGCGGAACATATGCATTTTTGAAACTTCAAGCTTTATATGTTTGTTTAAGTTATTAATTCAATCTTGCATTTATTCACTCGCTGACACAAAGTGAATTCATGCCGAGTCGAGTTCGATAACAACTGAATCAATCTCCTATAATAAAAACACAGCTCTGGTCTTTGTGGTGTTCTTTGTGTATTTTGGAGTCGGTCTGTGTAAGTGAGTGAGCGGTGCATGTCCCTATTACAGAGGTATCCGAGATGTTTGATCGTAGTTTGTAAATAAACATGTTATAAAATTAATGCTTTCTTGTCAGGAGCTTCAAACTGCCTTCGAGGAAAAGCTGGCGGTCTTAGAGACAGCCTGCGAAAAAGGAAAGCTTTCTGTGATGATGGAATCCTGTTCACCGGAGAATAACATTGATGTGGAAACACAAGTTACAAACCTTAAAGAAAGATGGGATGCCCTCCGCTCTTCGATTACTGACAACATTTGTCTACTGGAAGCAAAATCCGACGAGGTTGAACAAATAGAGACCGAGATACTCGGCGTATCAGAAAAACTAAACGAACTGCAAAGCTCCACAGAGGATTTAAAATGTATCAGCCTTGTGAATGGAAAAGTGGAAAACCTACGCGAAAATTACGAGGTAAGTTTGCGAAATTTAAGTAAAATTAAGCGTAAATTTTTCCCCGTGGACATTGTTATGATGTATGGATTTTCATACGAAAGCTACTGTTTTGATCTTGTTTGAAATCGAGTGCACCATTTTTGACGTTAATAAAAGACAAGTAGCATCCATTTATCGTAATGACTCCAGCTCTCTAGATGTAGTGGTTATTAAACTAGATAGTAAACGTGACTGGGCTATTTTTACTCGTTTTAAGGAAAAAAGCTGCCTCCGAGTGTATTGATTTTATTTATTACTATTTTTTTCAGGTCTTAAGCACGGAAGTGTCGTCTCTACATGGGTCTGTTGATAATTTAAGTAGTCGATGTCAGGAAATATTTAGTACTTCACCTGCCAAGGAACGAGAGGTAGGTGCATTCTTCAGCAGAAAACAACATCAGCAAGCAAATTTATCTCATATGAGATTTGTGACTTAAATGCAGAATTCTCGAAAGATTTTGATTCGATTTTACTGCATTATTTCAAGTGCAAATCGACGTTTTAGGTGTTTGTATTTTCAAGTAGCAAATGTTCTTATAATATCCCTAATGTCCCACCTCCTTATATGACGTGGATATAAAAGATATCCATATAATAATAATTATTATTATTATTGTTATTATTATTATTATTATTATTGGTATATGTTGTATTTTATTATTATTATTGGTATAATGATGTTGATGATAAAATAAAATTTAAGCAGACGTCATGTGAGTGAGTTGCAAAGAAAGGGATTCTCATTGCTTTGAGGAAGAAATTAAAAAAGCTTGATATCCCGCGGTTTTGTGAAAAAAATTCAAATTAATGAAGCTATTAAAACTCTTTTGACTGAAGGAAAAGAGGCACTCTACATGTAGTCTACATTATGAACTTCGTCCGTTATCAGCTATCCACCCTTGTTCTTTTCCCTGAAAACGTTTATGAACAGAGTGACGAAATAAGTGTAGTAAAGTTCCAGCGTCAATACTAAATAAGTAACAGGAGAAAGCTCTGTCTGCACCTGTAGTTGGGAAACGTTTGCAGTGTAAATGGCTGAAATCTAATCAAATAGAAACCCTATTCTAGGTTATGTCATATCTTTTTATAACCTTTATACCTATTGTGGTTTTTTTTTCTTTTCTTTTTTTTCTTTTTTAATTTAATGAAATAAGAACCTGTTTCAAATCGTAGGCTAAAACAGGTCGTAAAGGGAGTCTAAATGGAATTTTTTAGGCTAATAGTTGCTTAATTACTAGATTCTCATATGCAGGCTTTTAGTGCATAAGCCACTTTACATGCACCACAGACAGTGTATACACCTATTGCAAAACAACGTCGTTCGGAGATCTTAATTGAACGATCTGAATCTAAACGGATTTTTGTGGCTAAGATACAAAAAAATCGCATTTCAAACTCAAATGGTATGCTTCATATGTACCAATCTAAAGTGAAACTACGTTCTACTGTGAATGTGAATCTATTACAATTTGCTTTTTGTCTGAGATTTCAGATATCTGACCGACAGCGTTTTTTGAAATAGTTGTAAAATATATGTAACCCTTTTATCTCCCAGATACTGGAGAATCAGCTAACGAGTCTTCAACAACGGTGTGATCGTTTGGAAGGCGAAGTAGCAGAAAAACAAGAAGAGTTTGAAGATACGCTGTGGAAATGGCAGGAATACCAAGCGGAAATCGAAACATGTTTCCAAAACCTCGTCATGATGGATAAATCCTTAGATCTGTATGTCAATCAAGGTCATATTGATGAACTACAAAGCTCTCACATGGTAAGCCGTTGTAATTGTCAAGGCCGTGGGAGCGTAAATTTTAGTGTTAATTTGGGTTTGGATTTGAGGGGTGGGTATGTTGAAGGGTGCCCCCTCTATCCGGCCCCCCCTCCCCCATCTCCCAATTCATGAATGTTAATATGACTGAACGGAGATAGAGATAGATCATGCATTACCATTGTATAAACTTCGACCTTTCTAATAGGGTAGTATCAAAGTGGTTAAAACAAGAAAGTATGAATAAGAGAGGGAAACTTTTTGTTGTGGCGCGCGCCATGTAAAATCCCCGTTGGGTTATTTTTAGAAGCCGGATGCAGTTTAAGTTTGGCCTTACCCTACTCCCGTGCTTCACTAAAAACGAAACGGAAAGAGCGCACGCGCGCAAGTTGAAGACGCACGGGAGCCCAATAGCCCAACCCACAATAAGAAGTTTCCCTCTGTTATTTATGCTCTCTTGGGTAGAAATAATCATATGAAAAGACACTCTGACATGCAGCTATGCAGTCTATAAGTTTCCAACTGTTGCCCCCTTGGCATTCCACAATGTCTTATCATGATCACCCAGCGCGCTCATTGGTCACAATTTACGTCTTATGCTGTTATCGATTCACCTACAGGTGAATATAACATTGAAGGCGCGCGCTTGTCTGCTGGTTTGTTTATGTTTGCCTTTTGCAAAGATAAATATAATTTGGAAAAAGAGGGGGRAAAAATTTGCGTTATTTATTATATTCATTTGTGTTGAAAAATACTAAAGCAAATTCAATATTGCCCTAACGACGTTCTTATGTTAATATCAGTAAGAAGTCTAATGATTATAGTATATTTTATTAACTGCCAACAAGCTTCCAGACTTCTAGTCCCGCCACTTGAAGTACAGTCAGTCAGAATCAGATAAACGAAGATTGATGCGGCCACATAACAAATACCTTTTGTATTGCCTAAAATATCATGAAAAATTAATGTTTGATAACGCTGTATGGGACCGATTCCTAAGAGTGTTTGGTGAGCAATTGAATGGCCCAATCAGTGAAGAACTTTCCTGTGGCGGCTGGGAATCTTATGGAAATTATGGAGCGAATGCTTTATATAAACAGCCAGTGATGTTCCGTGTAAATATTGTTTCACAAATTGAACAGCTTGAGGGCGATCAAAACGAACAAATTCTAGACGCTGGTTTTATAATGTATGCCTGTATCCCGTAGTCTTCTTCCTTATTTTATTATTTTCAGCAAATGCCCGAAGGGTTGCGATCAAAAACACCCTAGTTTTCGTTTTTAATTTCACTTAAAAATCATTTTTCATACCAGGAGGCTACTAGATTTAAACCAGACGAACAGAGTTAACAGTGACTGACCTAGTTTTTAAATTTATCATGAGATAACATTAATGAATTCAAAAGCCGGAAAGCTTCCCCGTTGGGCGTGTTCACCAACAGTGCTTTTTGTTTTTGTAGATGCTACGCGACAACTTAGAACTTCAAGAGGCAATCATTAGCGCGGTAAAAGCCAAGTCCAGACACATCATAAAACTAGTGCCGCCAGACGACCAAGAGGCCATTGAGAATCGTCTCCAGGCCCTGGATATTGAGTATTTGAGAGTCCGTGATCGATTACACAGGCGGAAACAGGAGCTCATCAAGAATTCAATCGAATGGCAAGAATTCAATTCGGGTTTATTGGCTGCCTCTGATTGGTTGTCAAAAAACGAAGCTCTGGCAGAAGAAACATGCCAGCCTGAAGGTGAAGATCTGGATATTGTCAAACTTAAGGTAGGAGCTCGCAATTTATGGGAGGATTTTCTTTTATTAGAGGAATAACAACCATATCTTAAAGACATTTTGATTACTGTATCTATGGTTCAATTATGGGACTATGTATTTGTAAGACAACGGTTAAGAAATCAGAAAAAAATAGGTGAAAAAATTGAATCAAAGTCTGCCAACATTTAAGTTTAACTAACGTATGTGTGAGTTACAATTAACAAAAAAATTGAAAAAAATTGACAATCATTTCGAATCTAAATGAGCCAGTAACGTTAACTTTAAACTAAGTGTAAGCTGTAATGACCAAAAAGCTAACTAGGACAGAAAATTCAAATCACATATAAAAATATAAATTTTTATTTTTCTAGACAAGCTTTCAAATTCAAATTTCTTTTTGAAACAACTTCTTCTTTTTGTAGATAGAATAACAGTATGGTATAGCGACAACATTAGCAACATGAATATGTCTGGGTTTGGTTTGACAGGCTTTCTATGAATAAATATTTTGAAATCAGTCCCCCAACAAATCTTTTGCTCTTTTCCGTTTCAGCTGTAAATGTGTTTTGATGTTCCTCGGGGGTTTTTAATCTCAGACAGCTTTTCAAATGTATAGTATTTTTAAATCGGCTACATGCAAACAAAAATATATTGGCAATCTTTTGACGCTTTAAATTTATCTCTTTAAACATTTATTCAAATTCTTTTTCATAAGGCCTTAGTCGGTGTTATATTGTTCACTAAATACAGTCATAAATTATTTTAGTTTCTGATATTTGACTTTCTTTTGGCCCGGCTTAAAAACTTTCTGTCATTTGCAACCAGCAGGTGAAATGAAATAAATATGACGACGTCAAGACCTAAGCAGCCAATCAGAGAACAAGAATAAATTGATTAAATGTCAACTCGCTTGTTCTGACAGGTTCCAAAAAGACTTTTGAATTATGGTTTATAATTATGTGAATATTGTGTTGAATCTTTTTAGTATTATAATGAATGACTTAAATTCTTTTAAGTACTGAACCTACCTAAAGTTTCTTCGGATTAGGAAAAAAAAAAAAAAAAAAAAAATCTTTCAAGAAGGAAGTGAATTTGCATTTTGGGGAAATGATGTTGGCAAAGTAAATACACCACGTTGACAAAATACGGAGAGCGAAACAAAGTGATGTTCAAATTGTGTTCAAATTTTTTTCAATAATGTTTTTGTTTCAAAAAATAAATAAAAGGATTTTTWAAAATTTGATTTAAATACATTATACAAATGTCGTGTTCCCATTTAGGCCAATGAAACCTAATGATAAAATTGTCCTCCAAGATATAGGTTTAACGAGGAAGCGTGTTTCACCAGTGGCTGTAGACTACCAATTAAGATTCAACTTGACTTTAATATATTCATCCACGATGACAATCTCCCCAAGCATTCTGGCTCTAACGGTGTCTTTACGCACGCTCTGTTAAATAGTTTATGAATGATGGTTACCTAGAGTCATAAACTACCGAAACCCATCTGTTTCGATATGTAATGAAATTTAATCCCTCTGTAATTTATTTGGAATGTTTGGTAGAAGACGACCTTTGGCAGCAGTAAACATGAATTTTCTCAGAGAGGGGGAGAGATAATAATATTAGTCACATAATGGCTGACAGAGAAGTCTTTGCTCACTCTTTTTGCTTTCAGGCGCTGAGCGACGAAGTCGATATTAGTGTGACTGATTTCGAGAGCACTCGTAATCAAGGTTACCGTCTTATCGACTTACTGGAAGATGCAATGGAAGGAGATGTTCTAAGAGAGAGAATAAACACCGTACAAGACAGCCTTAATCGTATACAGTTGCTAGTATCACGGAAAGAGAAGGATATTGGCGACCGTTACTACCACATGGCAGAGTTCGAGGTCGCGTTCAAAGACTGCGAAGAACGAGTCTCTGACTTCAAGACACGGCTACGAGGGGTCAGAACGACGGATATAAGCGAACGGCACGAGAAAATACAAGTATGTATGACTAATAGATTTTGTTTTCTGGAGCCTGAACGACGTCTCATCGCTGTGTACTCTGTACAGCAACTACATAATTGCAAGCTGTGTCTATTGTTTTTCTGCACGAGTCACAGCACGGATGAACAACTAGTTTTGTGCATATTATTAACTCCTGAGCGATTAAGTCTGCTTAGTTTTTAGGGTCTCCATAACAACCATTCAGCTCTTTTCAAAATATCCGGTCTTCTTTTCAATTTGATGTAAATTTGAACTATTTTATCAAAATACATGTTTTAGTGTTAATAACATTAAGTAACTTATTTTTGTTGTATAATTTTTGTGTGAAATGTTTCGTTTCTTCTTATTTGTGTAATATTCCTAAAAAGTGAATTAATGTTAGTGGCAGGGTACTATTTATATTTTCTATTTAGTTGACATTTAATTCGTCGGCAAATTATGTCCAATTCATCTTTTTTATTTTATTTATTAGACTCATTTATTGTACATCCTTGAAACACTCATCTGTTTTCTGTCACGCGTGTATTAGCATACGCGGTTCTGTCACGCAATATCGCTAATCACGTGTAACGTATCGTAAATTTTGTTCCCCAAACCTGTGAAAGTAACGCAGTTGTTGAAAATGTAACGCCTGGCATTATATTATGTAAGATAAATACTAATGATGCTCTCTGGTAATTTTCCAATTTGTTTCTCTCTATTCTATATATTTTTTTCCAGTGATTTAATCTTTTACTTTCACAGAATTTGAAATCCAGATGAATTTCCTCTCATTCTCAAAAAGTTAGCCAGTAAACGACCATTTTGTTCAGTAAACCATAGCTTTCAATCAAAGCAAAATCAATCATATTTAAGGTGGTACTCTTTTTAAAGTTCTTCCCAAAAACGAAATTGTTTCGACGCCGGAGCGGAAATGTAACGGAAATGTGAACGTATAGGTTCGGAATCCAAGATATGATTCCTCTTGAAATGGAGACTGCTTTTTACTGATGTAAACCAGTTTTCATGAGTCATAGTAGTTTTTAATTTTCATATATGTTGTTTACCTTTATATCAATTTTTCTTTTCATGTTTTGTAGAGTATTGGCTCAGCAGCTTGTAAAGTATACAGTACATCTTTGTAGTATTTTTTGTTGTTGTTGTAGTGATAGACTTAATAATTCAATAATCAGTGAAAGTATATTTATTATGATAAATGAGATGACGGAGAAACATGATATATTTGAGAGAAAGGGGATTAAAATTCATGTCTACTATGAGAAAAGACCTCTGAAGACTTTGGAAAGTTTAACAAATAATTGAAACGGGCCCTGAAAAACTTAGAAACTCAGTAGAGAGAGGCTGTGAGAGAAATATTTTACTGACAAGAATCTTCGCCCCTCCCCCCTGAAATAATATATAAACTCGAAGCAGAGCGATAGATCTTGCATTTGATATTCTATTGTACGTTTGCCGCAGGCCTTTCAATGTACAGATACTTAGCGTTCGTTTCTTTTTGTTATTTAAAAGTAGTGTTCAGTTAGCATTGTTCAGAATGAAGTCATGAATATTAATTATCTTTGTCTACATATGGTTGTCTGTATATCACTTATGTACATCAAATATTCACTAAATACTGTACTGAAATCCATCGATTAGTTCATTTGAAAATATCTCTGTGTTATGTTGTTTAGGTAAATTGCGTTTGAAATTAAGATTTTTTATTTAAAATGTTATACGATACGGATGGATTTCCATTTCGCGTCGCTAGTGTGACCCTATTACTTCGAAGCAGGTCATAGCAAACATGTAGTCTCTCGTTACTTACTTCTGTTTACCTCTTCGTTTCTTTGTAGGATCTGAGTATCGAGATTCCCTTTATCAGAAGTCTGATAGAAGATTTAAAGGAGCGAGAAGGAAACCTTGTTGAGTTTTGTTCTGAGGACGAACTCGAAAAAATCAAAGCAAACACAAGTAGATTAAGTGAGGATTTCGAAACTCTTCGTCAAGACGCTTTAAGTAACTTCGGTGACCCCTACGTAGAAACAACAAGCTTTACAACAGAAAAAGTCGAAGCAAATGTGGAGGTAAATAAGGAGGACAGTAAAGAACGGGATGATTTAAATATTGTCGAGAACGGAGCAGCTGCTTCATCACGGAAGACAGAGAACGGCGAAAACCTTGTTGACTCAGATTTGGACAATGAAAGTGGAGTCTCTTCAATGGAGTCGTTTGAAAGCTTGTTGAAAAAAAGCGAGACTCATATTAACGACGTTGATAGCTGTGATTCGGAACACGCCGTAAATAGAAGTAAAATGGAAAGAATAGGAAAAGAAAAGGGAGGAATTTCGGTTTCTTCCAACGAATACGAAGAACTCTTACAAAATCAATCGGACACTTCACATTCATCACAGCCTAATGAATCTCCAGACGTCGAGGAAAGCTCAAGTAGTTTTAATGTGTCTAAGAAAACTTCTCAAGCCGATGTACCTCTTCTAGTTTTTACCGACGAAAATGGCGAAGAGGTGCGTTATTCGGAGGGTACGGATGACGAGGGGGAAGTTTCTGGTGAAAAACCGCTGACCGATAAAAACGAAATTTTTGAAGATTATTGCGAAGACGATGAAAGAGAAGACCACGTAGCTAATGATGATAGAAATAAAGAGGTTAATGAAAGCCCATTAAGCGATGAGCTGGACGCTGTTGAGCATGCGCAAGATGTCGTTTCAGATAGTCACGAGGAGGAAGATGTAGCTACCAACAATGTGCAGTTAAAGGAAAATCAGCCAACAAAAGAAGAAGAAAATGATGTTCCATCGGTTACAGAATCAAAGAATAGAGAGGAAGGTGTTAACGAGGAAATGTTTAATGACGTCCATAGACCAAAAGCAACGAATGAGACTGTTTTAAGCGATTCAGAAGACAGTATAGAAAATGCTCCGTGCCGTGTAGCAGACGAACACGCGTTAGCATCAGAAATAGACGAGATAAAAATCGAAAGTGGTAGCCATGAATCGATCATAAACTCGGTGTCAGCAGGGAACACCAATACTAAACCTAAAGATTTTACTCATTTCGAAGAAAACCTGGACGATAGCCAGGAATCTATTAATATGGGTCAGAGAACTGATCCTGTTGGTGCGAGTATTGATATTGAAAGTGATAGCTATCTTGATTTTGAATCCCAGTTGACTAATGAACGAGAAGGTGAGGGTCCTTTACAAACTGGTCAAGACCTTTCTGGTTCGATTTCTACTTCAGAAACATGCAAACAGGAGCAAAACTCGTTTTCCGAGGAGGATGTGTACGAAGTGAGTTCTCCAGACTTTCCGCGGACACACTACAGTGCTGATGCCCCAGATGACAAGCAAGATGAGGCAGCTCAACAAATATCTTCAATTTCAGACATATTTCCAGGTATTAGCAACGGTGACCCGGAAGAAGCTGGTACCACAGAAGCCAAAGAGATTCTTGATGAAATAGCCCGGCGTAGACACAGGGTCAGACCAAGAAACTCACCGCCTCAAGACCCAATCAGCTCATATGTACGAGATTCAACAGCTTATCAATCCTCATACTTTGGTAGTGCGTTTAGCCGGCTTCGGGAACTTGACGAGTACGAAGTGCCTCTTGAGGAAGGGATGAGTTTAGATGTTTTTGTTGTGGAGGTTGAGAAGCTGCTGGAAAAGTTACGTGTTATTGAAGATATGATAAGGGCTTGTCAGTGTATCGATGACAACGTGAAAGACGAGTTAGCTAGACACGTGGTAAGTAAAACTTATCTTCCGAACTCCACCTATTACATTCAGATCAAGTAATCTGGAATGTTATAAACAAACTGTCGAAGTCCATTTTTCGTACTCTGATTGGGCGAGAGGTTATCACGTGAACATGATATGTTGTTGACAGGTAACAACGATACCGGAAGTGATTTCCCTGGAATTTAAGATTTTCTTAGTTTTTCAAAATCAGATAATCAAAAAGTCAAATAATGGCTCGTGTTCTTAGACACTTGGTTTATAGCAAGACGCTTAATTGACTGGAACCTCGGGAAAGCAGTTTGTTTTTTGTTCCTTCGACAGTGATGTTTCACCGGCTCGAGACCACAAAAAAACCTTGTTTCCCTCTGCCCCAGTCAATAAGTGTTAACTATTGCTGGGTTTTAATCAACTGATAAATAGTCTTTGAATCACATTATCTGCTCCAAAAGCCAGAAAGAATTATATTATGTAATATAATTATATTGTAAACTTGCGATTCAGCTGATAAAAATTCTGCCCGAGACAGGAAATGATGTCAGGTTAAACTTCGCAATCCCCCCGCCCATAAACGCAAATGTGGTCTTCCAAGGCCATTGACATATGTGTTCAGTGTAACGTTTTACCATATAATCCCACGTATTTGAAACACCAATACAGATGTCACAGGACTGAATGGTTTTTTTTATTATCATCCAGGCCTTGTGTGTAGAGATGTCTCGTCAGCAAGGACGCATTGACGTCATGAATACATTGGCAGAACGGTTTCCACTTCAAAAGAACAGTAGCCTCATGATCATCTTGGACGAGCGGCTCAATGCCGTCAACACCCTATGGGAACAGCTACAGCAACGGGCCGCTTCAAGACAAAATGAACTCGAGACGTTTGTACAGCAACGAACTCATGGCACTGAAGATATACCAGAAAGTGACATTTTAAGCTTTAGAGAGAATTTTGCGTTGCTAAGATCGCTGTACGCACCTTATGAGAACGACATCGATGGAAGGCAAGAAAACAACGAGGAGGTATTGGGCGAAACTCTTGAAAACGGCGTGGAGGATGATGACAACTTTGTCACACAGATGGAACTTCACGAATTGTTTGATGGGGTAGCTGGCATTGAGGAAACTTTGGTCTCGGAAGAGATCGTTGATGGTGACATGGCTGTGTTGAAGCAGCAACTAGAACGCATTCAGGTAATGCATTATTTGAATAGTAATATTCAAAAGGACAGTGTATTATAAAAACGAACGACAAGATGCTCGGGATTGCGGAGGAATGTCCTCCAGTCTGTCACACACCCTTTGGAAGTATAGAGGAATACTTTTCATAATGCTTTTAATGTTCTCCCCAAATGCTAAAAGGTGGATTTTTTCAGGACGACTTGCGCTAAATGGTCACGTGACCCTACCCCTATTATATTTAGCTGTGTCAAAGTACCCACCAGAGTTTCAGCTCATGATATGAGACTCGGGAGAAATGGCATTAAACTCTATTAAGTCGAAAAGTTTATAAAGATTTGTGTGGAAAAAAATGGAAAAAAGTTGGCAAATGCTGGCCAGCCACTTGTTACTAATAGCTAGGTGCCATTTTCATTTCAGGTGTTCATTTTGACACACCTGTTCGACTTAAGGAGGTAGATTCACGTGACCTGTTAGTGCAAATGGTCTATTCCGATGTGTGGTATACTCTAACTGTATAAGGTTGTCATTTAATAAACGAAATCCTATTCTTTTCCTCAGTCCCTTCTCGGCGAAACCAAGCACCAGCAAGCAAGACTAAATGACATATCCAACCAGTCAACAAACCTTTCCTCAAGCCAGGAAGTTACCCTTAAAAAACACATGAATGATTTGGAGCAATTAATCCATGGAATCATAAGACTCATGGTAGCAAAGGTATTCGAAATACACGCCGCCATTGAAAAGATGGTCAAAGTAGAAACTGTTGTCCTAAACAGTCATGATTTTGATGCCAAGCTTGCGGAGTGTTTAGAACACAGCTCTTTAATCGAGAAGACTATCAGGCAACTAGGACCTTTGGACAAGGAGAAAAACCTTGATTTGGAGTTGTTGAAGTTCATGGTAAGTCGATATATCATTTCTGAAATAGTTACTTTAATTTTTATTAAAAGATAAATCATGAAAACCCAAATAAAAGACCTCGAAGCACAAGCTTAGAGAGAACTTACGAACAACCGGTGCGCATGTCAAATCCAGGATCTTTCCCTAAGCGGGGTAGGCATGTTAACAGAGCACACCACTCGTACTTCCCCTGTTGTGGACAGTTGCTGATATCATTAATTTCTTGAAAAAATCGTGCTAACTAATACGTGAAAATACGTGAAAACAATGTCACTTTACAGTTCATTTCACATTACTTTACCGCGGCGGGTTGGGAAGTTCGTTTGGAAGTTGCCAAGTTGGCAGTGAACTTCCGAACTTCAAGTGAACAAAGTTCAGTGAACCGTGAACTGTTTACATCTATATTTCAAAATTTTGCTGAAATTGTATCTTAAAAAACTTCAAATGTTCCAAAACTCATACCAAAACAGGTCAATAAGTTAAATACCTTGTATTGTGATAAAATCCAACTTGGAAGTTAAGTTTGAAAAGCATTTCCGACGAGTTTCTGAATTCAAGATGTTATGAATTTCAAAGAGCACTTCCGAACGAACTTCCCAACCCACCGCGGTAAAGTAATGCGAAATGCACCGTAAACAACGGTTATTCTCCACACATTTCAAACGGGCAACAGAATCAAACTTTAGATATACGGATTTGTTCTGAAACATTGAGGAGTAATAACCGCAATAGCTATTAATTAGTAATAATTGCTCGAAATAGATGTTTTCTATCTCCTTATTTTTAATGCTACGCGAGGAAATTAACTGAGGAAATGTTTTCCCACAGATCCTTCAAAGCTATGCAATCATGCACCAGTTTACCATTGACTTTTTGAACAAAACAAACGATGAAACTTTGAGCTCTCAGAAGAAAAGTAAACTAGCTGAACTAAACCGAACTTGGGAAAGACAACGGCCTTTAATACGTTCAAGAGAGCGACACTTACAAAGTCTCGAATTGTTACCAACACCTCGAACTGTTGAAGAAAAATCTGTACTAGTCGAGAATGTTGAAGCAGTCCAAACATTGCCTGCACGCACTCCTCGTGGAGAAACATCTAAGGACGGTCCATCCACCCCTAGAGATCAAAGAACACCTTCACCCAATAGAAGACGTTCGCCAGGTCAAAGCGGATCGCCACTTGATCAGAAATCACCCAAAACGAGACAGAGGCAATACAGAAATGAACTAAATGACTTAGCGGAATGGTTGACTTCGCAAGAAGCTGTTTTCCATGAACTTGCAGCGGATGAGACGGTTCCTCCTGATATTGAAGCACTTAGGTTAAGGTTAAAGAGGTTCCAGGTAAAGTAAAATACCCTCAACTTTACAAGTATTTTTCCAGTATTTTGCAACTTGATACCGATTGGATCGGGTCACTAAGTTGATRTTAGTTCATTAAAATTTCTTGGCTTTCTGTGCACAAGTTGACGCCGTGTCCTTGATGCAGCTAACCCACACTCCTTATCTCAGTTTAAGTCAGTCATATATTCTAGTCAAATAGATTTGTTAAGAAATTAACATTGGTTCACATCATCTTGTAGGATGAGCCTGTACCACATAATAACATAAAAAATGTCAGTTTTGTCAATAAAAATGTTAAAGTCCTCCCCCCACCCCTAAAAAAAATCTCACTAATGAAGGTGTTGTAACATTGTTCCTTATTTTGTTAGACGTTCTCTCGAAGTATCCAAACTCGTATATCCCGACTAGAAATGTTCAAGGAATACGCTGTACAGTCTGATGAAGGGCCCATGACAGGAAACGACAGTTACAACGATGTCATGCAACTTGCCAACAACATGAAGGAAGTATGCCAGGAGAACGCAGAATGGATAAGCACTGTTCTTCTTCAGTGGCAGTCCTTTGAGGAATCAAAAGCAAAGCTAACAACTTGGATGGATATTTTGACACAAAACCTTCTTTCTCCTCTTCGAGAACTTCCCGAAGCGAGCTTAGACACTGTTCTTCTCAAAGTAATGAAGTTGAGAGAGCTTGACAAGAAGTTAAACGACAAGCAGTCTTCGAGAGATGCTCTAGTCTATGAAGGAGAACAAGTTCTTACTGCTACAGGTGTGTGTCTTGCTAGAGTAGATTTTCTTTTTTCTGTCCTCTTTACCTTGGGCATCATGTTTTTCCATTTCAGACCACGTGTCCTTCCCTTGAGAATAAGATTATTTGTTCGAGTGGAATTTATATTCATATGTTTACTCATGCGCAACCACTATACAAAGAAATGATACTCAAGAGAATGAAACGTGGTCCGAAATAAAAAAGCATTGCAGCAAGGCATAAAAGTCTTTTGCGTTTGGATAGTTTGGTAATTCATTACTTCAGATTGAATACCATTTGTAAGTCACTCCGTTCAGTATTAATAACCAGCCACACCCCAATCTCATTGTGTAGTGCGGTTGTTATCCTCAATAATGTCCCGGTACAGGTGTATATTTCACAAATATACACCTGTCCCGGGGACATTCATATCAAATCAATATGGTAAGCACTCAACAACTGTGAGAAGCTCCTCTCCTTAAACTTTCGTGCTTACGTCACTTCCTGCGTGCTTTATCAATGAACGGAGCACGGACGAAGCTGTTTTATTTGTTAATCGGATGGCGAAAGTCAAAAATCTAGACTTGTAAAAGTTATTGAATACACACGACTACATCGAATGGAAAAAAATCTCCTTTGGAATTTAGTCGTGTATATTTGACATTCTTTTGTGGTAAAAACACGAAAATACGTAAAATAATAAAAATACGTAGATGAAACATCAACTGACTATTTAATGACATCTACATACAAAGAAACTTCATATTTGATTCTACTAGACAGCTTTTCGAGCTTTGCTGTAATAAATTATCTCTAAGATTCTGTGCAAACTTGAACGTAATTGGCAAACTGTGCGTCAACTAACTTACCGGATATTGTATGTCAAAGGGAATGAAGAAGTGCAAAGACTTGTCAGTGAAGTAAAAGAACGCTGGCGGGCAGTTCGCCAAGAGGCAAAAGACGAACGACAGCGGCTGGAAAAACTTCTAAAATTGTGGCGGGAATATCAGAGTGGGATGGATGATCTTGTTGATTGGTTAGTGACAGTGCTTGGGTTTATGAGAAACGAAGAGGTTTCTGGCTGTACACTCGATATGATCGAGTCGCAACTCGAAAATTTGAAGGTAATATTTATGAAATAAATTTACGGAATAAAACAGGGACCTGGAACTTCAATGCATAATCATCACTAAATACCCTATTTACTCGTGTTAGCGCTACGGTGCTTATCAAAGGCGCGATTACAAGGAGCAATTTTCTCTGCAATTTGTGCTGCAACAGCGTTGCGGCACAAGTTGCGTGAAGCATTGCAGCGTTTAACCTACAGCGCAATTTGAAAAATGTTGCGACACAGGTTGCAGCAATTCAGTTGCGAAAAGTAGAATTTTGCTAATTCACCGTTTGCTTGTTGCATGCTGCAATAGTTATGTAGTAATTTCTCTTTGTAATGTTCAACCGTTTCAGCAATACCAAACAGACATCGAATCACATCAGGCAACAAAAGAACGTCTGAATCAAGTCGTACAAGAACTCCTCCAGCTCTCTAGAGGTGATACCAACTTCCTACAAGAAAGTCAAGTCAGTTTAGATGAAAACTGGACCGAATTGTGGGCTTTACTGGAGGACCGCGAAGAGGAAATCCTTCGGCACCGGGCTGATCTAATGGTGGTGGCGCTGTTTGAAGACGTTGCAGAACTAGACGCTTGGTTTACAGACGTCCTGAGATCCGCTGAAGAACCAGCTATCGCAGTCGGCACTAGTTCCATGGACTCCGTGAAGAAAAGGCTCGAAAAATATAAGGTAAAGTTTAATAATCATGTCATGGTATTTTTATTGTAAAAACCTGTCTCTCATATATCGATCAATTGACAGCCGCCCCTAAGTCATTACCTTGAGTGTTATATCTTTTTCTAACTGAGTGGGGCCTAAGAACTCAAGACAGTTACTATAATGTTACAATTAGATCAAGACTTTTAGGTCGCAATTTTATTTCACTTCAGAAAATGTTAAGAATCCTCGTTCTTGTCTATTTTTTAGAAAATCATGAAAGAGTTGGAGTCCAAACGCGAGGCTCTTGATGGTCTTACCGCGCATGTGCAGGAGCTCCAAGGCGATCGTTGCGATGGTCCTGCACTAGACGTTAGAGATGCTATACGTCGATTAGGAATGGCTGGGAACCAAATTGTCAATCTATTATCCGAGAAGGAGCGTCAGTTGAAACACGGTATCAGCCGATGGAATGAGTTCCAAAAGCTCTACGCTGAACTAAAAAATATCAATGATTGGTTCGAGACCAGAGAAGAAGCCATGAACAAATACCAGAAGATTGTGTCGAAGAAGGAATTTGGGATTGCACTGGAAGATGTCAAGGTAAAGGCTTCTTGACTCATTTTGCAACCTATATGGTATGAAAAATTAATCTGACTCACGTGCAGCAAACAACAATGTAATTTCACCTATAGAGTTAGAAACAGCAGGCAAACAGACAGACCGACAGACAGACAGACAGACCGACAGACAAATAATAAAACAAACAATAAAACAATAAAACAAACAATAACAGCAAGAAGGTCCCAAAGAAAAAATTACAAAAAAGGTTCACACAAAACTTTTCATTCAGTTGCATAAAGCTTCACTCGCTTTTTTCACTTCCCTACCTTTACTTACTTACTTAATATTGTTGTGTCTACAGGCCATGAAAGGTTTTCTTGTCACTCAAAAACAGTCTGTCAAAAACGTTCTAGACTACGGAAAACGTCTGATAGGTGACCAATCCGTCGACCAAGATGAACTCCAGGAAAGCATCGAGACGGTTGAAGAAAGATGGTCTGAGCTCAACACGAAAGTTAACGAGTATGAAGTATGGTTAGAAAGCTCTTTACGTGCTGTGGAGGGATACGAAGCAGCAGTGGATCATCTCAACAGCTTTATGGATGACATCCAAGAGGCATTGAATGCTAGTTCCAGCGGCACGGGAGATATGGAAGCCCTAAGATCACGAGTTCGTCAGCTTGAGGTAATTTACAAAAAATTCCCAATGTGGCGAGATTCGGATACTTTAGGATATCATCAACTGAAAACGCGACTTTTGAGCTAATTAAACTTAACTGTGAAAGCGCTTTTTATTGAAAATGTGTAAAAGTTGAAAAACAAAGTTATTCGTGTAACATTAAAACTTACCTAATGATTTTGGTTTGAATTTCCTACAGACGTTTGGAGAAGGACTGGAAGGAGCAAGAGGAAGACTGGACGAGGTGACAGAAGTTGCAGCAGAATTGGCGCGAAACTGTGACTCATCAGTGTCAAACCATTTCGAAGACAACGTCATCGCCGTGTCTGAACGATTCTCCCGGGTCACCGGTCATCTTCAAGAAAAGTTAAAACAACAGAAAGAGCTTCTTGACACATGGCAGAAGTTTAGGCGCGCATGCGCAGAACTTGTTGACTGGATTGAAAAGCAGGAGGCTTTGCTTGCAGAAACGGTGACGATTAACGTACCACTTAATCTACAACTACAACAGCTTGAGATATGTCGGGTAAGTACAACTGTGCAAACTAGTACTACTTTGGATAGCGTTACAGCGTTCACCCCTGTGATCTGGTTTGACGCCTGCTTGGAATCTGGACCGAATTTGGGGTTTGAGTTTAATTAACAGTGCTTAATGAGTTCAATTCATCATCTCATTTCAGGCAATGGAACAAGAGATCGACCTTCATCGAGAAAGTTTGTCTTCAATAAACATCATGGCAGATAAACTCAAAACCAAAGTCATTCGTAGTTCGACTTACATTCTTCCCTTGAGAGCTGAGGTGGTCAAGCGTTTTGAGGAGCTAGAAAATGAGCTGGGACATAAAACAGAGAGACTCAACAAGGCAACTCGTAGCTACATGGAGATAAAGAAAACTGTGGATAAATTAAACTCATGGCTCGATCAAGCTGAAGTTACAGCTGAAAGTTGCTCTGCTCTTGAAGCTGAGCAGTCGTTTGAGGAATTAGAGGTAAATATTGGTTAAATATTGGTGCCCTAAAAAAAAAAAAAAAAAAAAGCTTAGCTAAGTGGCATGTGTGCTGACATTGAAGCAAGAGGTCTGTCGTTCCATCCTCTTGATATCAGACACTACGACCTTAGCTTTATACTGACATATCCTTAGCTTTAATTTTAATTGCTCATAGCACTGTTAAAGAGAGGGCTTTGAACAATCATGGATTGTAATGACAAGAGGACACTTTGCTAATATCCACTAACAGACCCCTTGCAGCACGTCGGAATGCAGCTCAATTTGGAGGACATAACAATAGGTTTCCAGTTCTCAAGGGATTGAAATTCTTTTGTTCTGTACTCCAAATTGAGCCGCTTGACGTCACATGCAAGGGGTCAATTTGCCAGATCTTGGCCCCTTAATTACTTTTACACCGGCGTACTAGCCTACTATGTTTTCAAATCTAAGCCCTCTATCAAACCTTCAAGGGTGCTTGAAGGCCCTTCATAAGATCTCTTTTATCTAATTAACTTTTTTTTCCCAAAAGAAACTATCTTCAGAGGCCGATGACTCCAGAAGCAAACTGGAAGCACTGAATCGCAGTATCGATGAAGGAGTACTGGGCGATTCAAGAGATCAAACAGACACCGTGAACAGACAAATCTATGACCTTGGTAAGAGATGCGATGGTCTGAAGCAACGAGTCAAATCAAAGCTCGATGACAACAAGAAAATCGCTGAGAGACGGAAGGCGTTCGAGTCTAAGTATTCATCGCTTTATCAATTGCTAGTTTCGATCCAGTTGGAAGAGGATAGCTGGAAGACTGAGTCTAGTCTGAATCTCAGGCGGGATTATGCGATCACAGTAAGTACCCTTAACATGCATTAAGTCTCCTTAACATGCATTAAGTACCCTTAACATGCATTAAGTCTCCTTAACATGCATTAAGAACCCTTAACATTCATTAAGTACCCTAAACATACATTACATACCCTCAACATGTATTAAGAACCCTTAACATTTATTAAGTACCCTTAACATGTATTAAGAACCCTTAACATACATTAAGTACCCTTAACATGTATTAAGAACCCTTAACATTTATTAAGTACCCTTGA